GCATTGAACATGTCACCTCATTGCCAGTGGAAAGTTACAGGGGATGAATCGGTATATAAATCAAATGTAATTAACCCATTTATATAATTCTTATGTTTATGAAACATGGGCCATTACAAACAGAGTATTAGGTTTTATATCTAGAGGTGTAAGTAATAAGAGTGCAGAGGTCTTATTGCAACTATATCTTGCGCTAGTCAGGCTGCACCTCCATTATGCGGTTCAGTTCTAGTGCCCTTATTATAGAATGGATATCAATTCACTGAAGTCGGTGCAGAGAAGAATGACGAAAGTGATTCCGGGACTTAGAAACCTTCCATATCAAGATAGGTTAAATAAACTAAACTTGCATTCCCTAGAAAGACGAAGAGTGCTGGGAGATAAGATAGAAGTATTTAAGTGGGTGAAAGGAATCAATAAAGGAGATATAGATAAAGTTCTTGTAGTATCCGAGCAGGATAGGACTCGGAGCCACGGATTTATCCAATTTAAATCCGTTGCTACGAGTCCTATCCTGCTCGGATATTATAAGAACTTTATCTATATCTCCTCTATTGATTCCTTTCACCCACTTAAATACTTAAGTACATCACTACAATCACTTCACCATAATCATTTTGCCACAATCACTTCACCATCACCACAATCACTTAACCATCACCAAAATCACTTCGCCACAATCGCTTCACACAAGCAATGGCCCTATACAATATTATATTTGTGATATTAAATGTTTCAATAAAATACAACATTATTATTCTCTTGGGTAAAGGAAAAGTTGTATTGTTTAACTGAAAGAAACTTATTGAATATGGACCTGGAGATTTAGATGGCCAGTCCAAAAGGTCAATTTCATTCGACCTTTCCTCTGACCAGCGCTTCATCTCTCGTGGCTTGTGAGCAAGGCAGTTATCAAAGAAGTGAACATTATTCATCAAACATAATTTGTTAACACTTATTTCATGAATTGGCGCCTTCATGTAGGTGAAAATGCGCGACTTAGAAAAATATAATAGGCGAGTGTGGAGGCACGAATGGTGGGCAGCCTCCAGCAGCTCGAGGCAAACGTCAGAGATGATGGGTAATGTAAACTGTTGTACACTGAAGAGGAAAAATAAGAGATAACTGTATTATATACTGATGGAAAAAAGAACAAAATATTGGTATTGAGGGAAAGGTGTTTGTTGATCAAGTAACCCAAATTAAGAAGCACATTTCAGTATTAATAGTATGGATAGATCTACGTAGTATTAGTTAAGGGCTGCAAATTGGTGCCATCTTTTACCGTAATAATACAAGACTAATACCATATGTTGGAGTTTGATAAACTTTATATAGGAGCAACTTTTCTAGACTATTACAAATTCTAAATGGCAATTTAAAATATGTATGCCCTTTTTGACCCGATCTAATGTTGACACTGGTGTATATACTATTCAACACAGTATGGTGGCTCGGTGGTCGGCAATAAAGTCACAGGAAAAAAGTCACAATTTTGGCTAGGAAAAAAGTCCCAATTAATTTATGGTGGCCAGTAATAAAGGTTAGGTTAGGTTACCATCAGTTCTGCATATTCCTTTACTGAAACTGATTGACATATTAACCTTAAAAAATGTGAGAATTCGATAGTTAACTTTTCTTTTTTTCCCTGTGACTTTTTTTCCTGTGACTTTTTTTCTGTGACTTTTTTACCTGTGACTTTTTTACCTGGATTCGGTGGCTCACTGGCAAGGTACCTGTTGTGGATGATGGAGGCCTCGGGTTCGACTGCCAGATGGACTGAAGTCGTGTTGAACTGGACTAGGCAAAGACAGGATTTTGAATGGTTCGTAAGTAAAATATATAATAATAATAATTAACGGTTTATTGAAAAAATTCTGCAGCCCGAAGGCTGAAAATATACATTGGACATAAATGAATAGTAATTCCCTCGCAGATGGTGTTATGAGGGGCCTCACGTGGTGTAGTAATTCCCTCAGATGGTGTTATGAGGGACCTCGCGTGGTGTAGTAATTCCCTCACAGATGGTGTGATGAGGGACTTGACGTGGTGTAGTAATTCCCTCACGTGGTGTAGTAATTCCCTCACAGATGGTGTTATAGGAGGGACCTCACGTGGTGTAGTAATTCCCTCACAGATGGTGTTATGAGGGACCTCACGTGGTGTAGTAATTCCCTCACATATGGTGTTATGAGGGACATGTGGTGTAGTAATTCCCTCACAGATGGTGTTATATGAGTGAGGTTTGGTCCCAGGCCTTCCTATCGTAGACGGATTAACACATCGGTGGTTGTTGTTGGGTCTCGCGGGGGCCGTTATCACTAGGTACCTGGGACCTCACTGTGTGAAGGTTAACTTGGGTACGACTGTTACTGTTGAGTTGTTCTCACTGACTTAAGCACTGTTCACCTCTGTTTAACACTGGTTCCGTTCTTTTCCTAAATGAAATTGTAACTTCTGGCGAGAACTTGTTGATATTCCGGTGGGGAGGAGGGTTCAGGGGAGGGGGTTGGTATGGGCCAACTTAACAGTTGACCTGGCTGCTCCGAGAGGAGCGCCAGGTACGTCTTGACCCTTCGGTGGTCAAGGATGTAGTGTGATATGTGTTACCAGTGATGTTGGGGCTGGTGCAATGGAATTACTCTACAATAGAGAAAGAAGCTGTGACTCTACTTATGGCACTGGAAAAGTTTAACATGTATCTTGGCAACACCTACCAGAGAATTGAAGTTTACAGTGACCATAATTTATTACAGTTCAGAAGTCGAATGAAAAACAAGAATCAGAGACTTAATAGATGGTGATTAACTCTGCAGGGAAGGACTTGGTATGTTGTGTAGGACTCCTTAGCTTAGACCGGGATTTCCACACTCGTGGCTCCTGTGAACAACAACATTCTGCTTATTATTTCCTTTCAAACAATTTCTTTGTATAGGACATTGGTTGTATACCTACACGGTTTATGTATACTATACATGTATACCCGTACCGTCTATGTACACTGTATACCTGTACGGTCTGTGTACACTATATACCTGCATACTCTATGTACAGTGGATACTTGCATTGTGTATATACCTGGTAAAGTTTATACATGTTTCGTATATATATACACCGAATTGTATATTTGCGTTGTGATGTACAGTACGTGGTGAACTACTGTGTGTCTGCATGCATGTTAAACTATACGGTTGCTTACATACATGATAATTTTATGCTTTCCATAGTCCAGTACATGCTGAGCCATTTGTAATTTGTATGCCGACTTTACTGATGACCTACCTCCCTCCCTACAGACGTTCTTCTACTTCCATATTTACAGGAAGGTAAATAATAATGTAGTTCCTCCTATTGTTAGCTGTAAGTGATTTCCTGTACCTGCTGTAACAAGTGTTCTACTGTGGTGTATAACAGGTGTGTTCTACTGTGGTGTATAACAGGTGTGTTCTACTGTGGTGTATAACAGGTGTGTTCTACTGTGGTGTATAACAGGTGTGTTCTACTGTGGTGTATAACAGGTGTGTTCTGCTGTGGTGTATAACAGGTGTGTTCTACTGCTGTGTTCTTCTCACAGCAACACACACCCCCAAAATACCTCCTCTTGATATTACGATTCAATACGTCCTGTAAGGTATGTAAATTAAGCAGGGAGGACGTGGTCAGTTTATTTCTTACGCAATATAAATATTTATCGAGGGTTAGGTTTGGTTAAGTTAGGTTAGCTTAGGTCAGGTAAGGTTATGCTTGGTTAGGTTCCTTCCATAACACAATACAGCCTGGGTCCGAATCGCCTGAAGTTTAATCACCCTAACCTAGCCCAGGCAGCGTTGGTGTGTCTCATCATCTGGTGTAATATTTTTTTTTGGGGTCTTAAACGTACGATGGAAATATTGAAGAGTTTGTCTTGTTCCCCTTAACACTATTTTCTAACACTCAAAGTACTACAAACTCGTAATTTTAAAAACTATTGGAAATCCAGGCATTATTTATTATTCATTCTATTTTAAAAATACTTCCATGATGTTTAATTGTCTCTTCAAATGTGGGTAATATGGCGTGGTACTTAAATCAATTGTTGTATTAAATCCTCTGTCAAATAACTATTTACTTTTTTATGATTTGCGTTTTTAAACTGTTGTATAATTTACTTGACTTTTGTCATAGCGTTCCAACACTTGCCACCAGCAACATGTTATAAAAAGAAAGTCACTGGAAGTTGTGAACACTCACTGTACTGAGATAACCTTGACAAAAACAAGATTATTGACGTCTCTCACTACAGTAGGAAAACCTTGTCTAACTTTACTGTACCTAACGTAACCTAACCTGACCTAGCCTAACTTAACGTCTCTAACCTGACCTAACTTACCTTAACGTCACTAAACTAGGATGACCCAACATAACACAACTAACCTTAACTTAGATATGTGTAAAAATATGTACTGTATATCTGAAATTTTGGGCACACACACACCCCACACACGTACGTTCATGGCAACTCTACTCCTGACATGAACTCGCAAATATTTTCTGCGTACTAAAAACAAGGCAGCATTTTTTTTATAGGTATTTAAGCCTTTGTACGTTCACAAGAGTTCTCTATAAATTCCAGGATATAACAAAGGGAGAACAATGGGTGTGTTCTCATCTCCTCCCTTAACAAAAAGTAAGGGAGGTAAGTTCCCCCTGAGTGATGCCAAAAGAACTTATTCTCACTGAATCTCTCCGACCTTTATTAGTGTGTGTGTGTTCGTCAGGCAGTTTTAGTTCGCACAGGAGAATAATAGAATAGGGTAATGGATGAAGAAGAACGGTAAGAAGGTTGATAAACGATGATAAGAAGGGGGAACAGTTAAAGAGAGAAAGAAGCGTACAGTCACCTGCACATGATGAGGGGGTATGAGAGAAAGGGGGGTGTAGGAAAGGATGTGAGGGAGGGAGGGAGGGGAAGTGGGGGGATTGGAGGTTGGGGGTGAGGGATGACGGTGTATATAAACTTGTCGGTACATCCTGCTGGTTTAGTTGTGGCTCTGACCGTCCCCCTGTCTACGACGCCTCTTGTCGCTCCTCCTCCTTCTTGTAGGTCTCTGTTTTTACTGCACCTTCCCGCCAACGTCCTTCTCCGACCTGCCCACACCCCCGCCATCCCTAGTCGTCCGAGTCACATCCCCGTCGTTCCTGGTCGTCTAGGTCAAATCTTTTAGACCCCAATCATCCATTCCATCTGAGGCACCTGTGGGGAGGGGCACAGCAGAGACGTAAATAACAAGTCCAGGTCTTCGTCAGCTGCAAGAGCAAGAAAAACAATTGAACATCAACAGTTTGGTTTACTCAAGCCGTCTTCTCAAACACCTCGGCAATATGGTGAGTGACTGAACCGTTTATTTGTTGAGTTTATTTTTCGTCTTACTCATTTTCTTCTTCTTGGCTGTTTATATTAACCTTTGTGTTATATTGTGTTACTGTTAAAAAGAGAGAGAGACAACTGGTCGACGAACTGCACCAAACATAAGGTCACCTACTGCTTGGTGATCTTGTTGACCTCTTTCACTCTCTCTCAAACACGCACACACAAACACAAAAGATGATTCCGTGCACACATGATGATACTCAAACACACTCACAGATCCATGATAAGTGAACTTAACTAGACGATGACGTAAGCGAGGAGAGTTAACACACGAGGGATATTAACACTGGAGGAAAGATGACAATATTAAAATACCTGTGTGTGTGTGAGCGCAGGTGAACGCCGCGCAACAAGTGTGAACGGAGGTGAACGCCAGGCAACAAATGTGAAAGGAAGACGGGGTTAACATGGATGTATGTAGGTGAAAGGAAGTGAACGCCAGGCAACAGGTGTAAACGGAAGTGAAAACCAGGCAACAAATGTGAACATAGCGGAACGTAATGACAGCGAGAAGTATTTTTTCCTTGGTTCGTGGAGCGTTGAAGGTGAGGTGGGTGAGGGAGGAAGGAGAGGGGGGAGGTGAGGGGGCTTACCTGCCCAAGGTGACGTCTGTGTGTGTGTGTGTGAACCAGCAATTTGGTTAGTCTTAGAGCTCTCTCTCTCTCTCTCTCTGTAAGATAATATCTTGTTCCCTAGGGCAGGAAAGTTTCTCTCTCTCTCTCTCTCTCTCTCTACACACACACCTGGAGCTTCACACCTTCAACTTTCCTGTCAAACATTCAACTCACTTGCCACATAAAGCTGCGTTATGGTGGCACCTGACCTGAACTGGCCTGAACCCGTACTTCAGTGCTCTTTGTCTCTATCTTACGAAGTCAAGTCACATATCAGGGTCAGACGTCAAGGAACTAGTTAAAACAGAGACGCCGCCAGAAAGTAGTAGAAAGTAGAGCTGATAACATTTTGTACAAGATGTATGTCCGGGCAAGGTGGACACAACTCTAATAAACAAACTGCCTCCGTTAGCCAAACACTTACTGGAGGTGTGTGACGCTACTTAACACTTACTGGAGGTGTGTGGCGTTACTTAACACTTACTGGAGCTGTGTGGCGTTACTTAACACTTACTGGAGCTGTGTGGCGTTACTTAACACCTACTGGAGCTGTGTGGCGTTACTTAACACTTACTGGAGCTGTGTGGCGTTACTTAACACTTACTGGAGCTGTGTGGCGTTACTTAACACTTACTGGAGCTGTGTGGCGTTACTTAACACTTACTGGAGCTGTGTGGCGTTACTTAACACTTACTGGAGCTGTGTGGCGTTACTTAACACTTACTGGAGATGTTACGTTACTTAAAACTTACTGGAAATGTGTTACGTAACTTAAAACTTACTAGAAATACGTTGTTACCTAAAACTTACTGGAGATGTTACGTTACTTAAAACTTACTGGAGGTGTTACGTTACTTAAAACTTACTGGAGGTGTTACGTTACAGGTGCACTTAACGGGGAAGGAGAGCAGCATGGTGCGTCACGAGGGCGGTTGTCACTGTGGAGCTGTCAGGTTCCAAGTGGTCGCCCCACACTCACTCACTGTGCGAGATTGCAGGTAAGTTGATTATTGTCCCCCCCACACACACACTCCCTCACCCATATATACAATCATGCACATATACACACGCACATACATACACACATCCAAACACATACACATAGATACACTCACACATATACTGTACATACATACATACACGTACATACATACATACATACATACATACATACATACACACACACACACACATACTGTACATACATTCATACATACACACACATATACTATACATACATACACACATATATGTATATGTATGTGTATGTGTATGTATGCGTGCAAGTAAATCACTGTGGGTGCGCGTGATCCAGGTATATGCTGATAACCACAAGGAAAAAAGAAAACACGAAGTTCCCAAGCGCTTTCGTGTAATTCACATCTTCAGGGGTGAGTACAGACTGTACTTGCATATATATGTGGCTTCATTACTTTGTAAATAAATATCTACCTACCAATTAGTCATTCTTCACTATAGAATAATTGGTTCCCAACCTGTACTGTTCTGTGGCCCTCGATCAAAGATAACCTCGAGGCGTGGCCCCCATTACATCTTTCTTCGACGAGGCAAACAAAGCCACGTCGCGTGAATGAGCATGTTGGGGTATTAGATTTTAATATTTTATTATTATTAATGGTACAGCACCAGTAGCTACAGGGACAACATAAAATAAAACTGCCACACAAGAAAACAGTATGAAAAGGTTCCAACTCATGGATATTTGAACAATAAAAACCTCTGTTGTGTCTACAGTAAATGCAGTGTACAGTATTATAATCTAAAAAATAAACTCGACTCAACCACAACTCGGGCAGTGAAAACTAGGGATGCGTCAAGTTTACACGCCTTGCAAAAAGAACTGAAAAAGTTCATTAAAATCTCTGTGGGTTGGTTGGCTGAAATTACATTTTTGCTACCAGTTAGGGTATCCGTGGTTGAGTCAGTCAGGGCAGATTACGCTCTTTCCATTTTATGCTCTACAGCGTGGAAAAACCCGCTTCACAGATATAGGTAAACGAGACTAGAATAAGTACAATACTCGGTAAGCCATTTTACTGATATTTGGGTAGGTACCTATTGCCACCCAAAACTCAAGTTTTATTTAAATTTGTTTTTTTATCAACACCATTAGCTCATATGGTTTCAACTCTGGCACCTTGCTATGAGGGTCAAGACTTGTTTAATTTTATTATGAACTTGCATGGTTCCAATTACCCCATGGCCCCCAGGTTGGGAACCACTGCAGTTAGACCCAACATACAGCCGCATGCTTAAATACTATCTATCAAATAGTCATTACACACAACCAGCAGATATCACGTGCTGCTTGATGCGAGTTACTTGTCACTAGTGAGGTTGGGTTTGTTACTAGCTTCAACTCGTTCAAAAATCACTTATTAGGCGCAGCGTGTCCGCCAACAACGCATCCCGAATAGCTGGGGTTCATGAGTCTCCAGTTAGAGATCTTTGTCACAACACAGCACACACTCCTGGGAAGTGTGATTCTTGTTTTTCCTCTACATAATATGAGACTATTTTATAAACACTGGTGTCATAAGAACTCTAAAAAGTAAATGAGAGAACTCGAGCGAGACGACGACATCGTCTTGGTGTAGGACCAGGTCGACAAGCCTGGTACTATTGTAACTAGTGAATTACTCTGGTACAGACCAGTACAAATTATATCTTCACTCAATGTCCTCCAGTGTGTTAACTGAATCAACAAGTGACCAGAACTGATCTGCGCATCCAGGTGAGGTCTCACTCCTTTGGATGAACCCAAGTACTTTATTAGCCTTGTTATGAGCAAAAACACATTGTTTACTTGGCTTAAGGTTCCTACTTATCATTACTCCTAAAGCTCTCTCGCAGTCGGATTTCTCAATGGCATCGTTGTTCATTTGGTAATTGGTTTCCCTGTTTACATCTCCTATACCGAGTACTTTACATTTGTCTGCGTTGAATTTCATCTGCCATTTTTCAGACCATTCGAAATTTTTTTTTTTTTAGATCCAGTTGATAACTGGCACCGACAATATTCTTCCCACGCTACAGCACACGAAGCTCCTGTATCAAGGACCGTTCTGGCCGCTCCCTACCTCTGGCCACGTTTTTCACACCCATCACGTGGTCCTGGTCCGTCTCTCACGCCACACCCTCCACCACCACCACCACCACACCCTCCACCACACCCTCCACCCACACCCCACACCCCACCACACACCACCACACACCTCCACCACACCCTCCACCACCCCCACCACACCCTCCACCACACCCCACCCTCCACCACACACCCCACCCTCCACCACACCACCCTCCACCACACCCCACCCTCCACCACCCTCCACCACACCCTCCACCACACCCTCCACCACACCCTCCACCACACTCTCAGCCCTCCACACACGCCCCCCCCTCTCGTACCAATACTCAGCACTTGTTAGTTTAAGTTGTGTTGTCACCTTACCAACACAGAAGTAGGAAAATATTGTAGGAAAGTGTTTTTGTGTGAGGCTGACACTCCCTCCTTCCTGCCTGGCTGACGTCACTCCATTTTCCTCCTCCCCCCATTGTACGTCTTGACTCACCTTCTGACCCTCTTAGTGTATGACGTCATCACTCCTATTCCATCTTGGCTGCTGTTTGACGTCATTCCTCCGTCACTGTAGATTACGTCACTCATGCCCGTCCACATTGTAGACGACATCACTGTTCCCGCCCTCACCAATGACATCACTCAAATGACCCGAAACCCCCAGTTAAAATCGATTGAAGCATTATATCATACACAGGTGGCTCTGTGACGTCATCATAAACACGCCAGTCTTTTGTTTATATAATATAGTATTGCTGTGGACGGAGTAACTCCTCGCACCAGTCGTCTGTGTACCTGTGTTGTCTGTATACAGGTTGAACCAATAACTGTAAACTTGTATGATCATTTTACTGATTAAAAATCTATATCTATCTATGTATCTATGACCATGATCACTTTTTGTTGACATGTGATCGAGTTGTTGGCCAAGTATAGTGTGAATCGCCAACCATCACGTGATCTATGACGCCATTATGAGCTGTCTAGTTATGATGATGCAAAGAACTGATTTACCATGACCTCGTATTGACTCCTTGTTGACCTTCCACAGTTGCAGCTTGTGCGTCAAGAAACAAAACAAGCACTTCATCGTTCCCTTCAGCCAGTTCAAGTTGTTGAAAGGTCACGATTCTCTCACCACCTACTCCTTCAACACTCACGCAGCCAAACACAACTTCTGCTCCACCTGTGGTGTTCAGCCCTTCTTCATCCCTTCTACAGATCAGAGCGGCTATGGTAAGTCTCGGGTCATGACGCCCACCGTTGACGTTTACTGTGTTGTTCGTGTCCTATAGGGCCACCTCCACGGCTACCTCACCTAACTTGACCTTCCCTATCATGTCTTATATTTCCTCGTCCGTCAGGTAAGCTCACCTTCGTCAGATCAGAACAACAAACTTAAACTGATTTACATGTTGTGAATCATGATGACTGTAGCAACGTTGAGGCTCTCTCTCTCTCTCTCTCTCTCTCCACTTAATAGGGATGATTGCTTTTTTGTTATAACTTCTATATATTTCCTTTTTCTTTGGGGGACATATGACTGACCATAGACGATCATGTAGAATAATTCACTGTAGATCCTCATCATATTTATAAACGAAGAGTTCATAGAAAACCTAACCTACTTTAGGCTAACTTCGCTATTTTATGACGGTAAACGACGCCTTCAATACAATAGAGCTAATTTTACCATATACGAATTAATTCCCATTGAGTTATAACAATAAAAAGAAAAAATATCCTTATGGCAAAAATGTTTATCTATAAACAGGTTAATTAACTCCTCTTCCCACAGGTATTGCACCTCACTGCCTGGATGACGGAACTGTGAAGAAGATAAAATATGAAAAGTGTGAAGGCAAGAAAAAGCAAGAAAAAGAAGTGAAGGCGAAGAAGTAAATGAAGAAGACGAGAGAGAGAAAGACAGGCACCTTCCAAAACACAATGACAAACTCAATATAAGAATTAAACCAATGACAAACTCGATATAAGAATTAAACCAATGACAAACCACAATGATAAGAGTCACTAACTTATCATTAACTTAACTAAGTTTTGTGTAAAAATAAACCAGAAATAAGTATATAGTTTGAATTGATCACCTTATATAATACTCGCTAAGGAGGAGGAGTGGTGATACATGATACGTAATGTACACTAGAGTACTTAAGAAGTCACCTCAAACCTGCATGGTGATCTAGCCGGCAAGTTGGGCACCAAGCAGAAGGAATTTTCCCGGTTCGTAATGATGTAATACTTTAGTCAGATTACACCACATTACACCGTACCACTCTATACCACACCACTCTGTACCACACTATACTACACCACTCTGTACCACACTACACCGTACCACTCTACCACACTGTACCACACCACTCTGTACCACACTACACCGTAACACACTGTACCACACTGTACCACACCACTCTGTACCACACTACACCGTAACACACTGTACCACACTATACTACACCACTCTGTACCACACTACATCACACTACACCGTACCACACTACACCGTACCACAATATACCACACTGTACCACACTATACCACACCACTCTGTGCCACACTATACCACACCACTCTACCACACCACTCTGTACCACACTATACCACACCACTCTGTACCACACTATATACCACACCACTCTGTACCACACTATACCACACCAGTCTGTACCACACCACTCTGTACCACACTATACCACACCACTCTGTACCACACTATAGCACAGCCAACTCTACCACACCACACTATACCACACCACACCACTCTGTACCACACTATAGCACAGCCACTCTACCACACCACACTATACCACACCACTCTTTACCACACTATACCACACCACTCTTTACCACACTATACCACACCACTCTTTACCACACTATACCACACCACTCTGTACCACTGTTCTAGCGTCTATAACGAAAATTATTGTCATTAACTCTTGAGTGGCAGGTTTTTGGGGTCAAACACATTAAGTCTGTTCTGTGGTTTATTCAATTTACACACTAGATACACATGATAAGATCTGACAGGATAACCAACCAAATAAACCCGACCAGCCATCCTAGCCTAACCCAAAACTCCTTGGATAAACTACTAGCGTTGGTTGAGTTAGTAGGTAAAACTTGGTTTATGCAAGGGTTGTCACGCCAGTTTGGTCTCTCCTCCACCAAGTATAAAAATAAACGCGGCAGTGTATTCGTTCTGTGGTTTATTATGACCTCGCAGTAATCAGTTGTTTCTGTCTCAACATTTTATTTTTGATTTAACAAAGGAACTGTTCGGGAGAATTTTTTTCTTTGCTTCGAGCATCATGTTTATATACACTGTCTTTAGTACATGCATGCTGAATCAATGTGAACTTGTATTACGATGTTACTGATTATCTATCTATCCATCTATCTAAGGTTGTCATTTTAATTTTTCAAGACCGTACACTGAAGGTCAGTATCCGCGGTAAAGAGAAAATAACTCCTTGTCCATTCACTCAACACAGAGCTGCCTCAGTCTCCTAGACTCAGAAGATAGGGTTCACTGCAACAAGCGAGGAGAGAGGCAGGAAGTGAGCTGTTGAGGTCCCGACTACGGGTGCATGTTGCAGACTGCGGGTAACGTCACTGCTGACGTCATTTGCCGCGGTATGGATACAAGTACGTGGTAGATGAGTGGAAGTACAAGTAGAGGAAGTAGGTGGGGACACATTCGTGCGAAATTATACAAACGCACACTAAAAATACTAACGCCTATACAGATACACGAATAATCCATAAACAATTACATAATCGCAAGTACCCATGAACGTGTAGTGGATTCCTCCCCTCCAAACGCCGTAATCCACTACAAACGCACACTTAAGAAAAATACACTCGCACGTAGTGTACATCATCAAAGCTGTTTATAAAAAGAATTAAATGAATAAATGTTTCACTTCAAAATGACAGGCAATTAAAAGCTTCCCCAGGAATTAGAGCTTAAAGCTGTCCTGCCACATCTTATCCCACCCCAACACCCTTGTCGCTTGTTGCTCTCGTGTGAATAATAATAATAATAATGTTAATAATTTTGTGATTCAAAAGGGTTCAGGAGTACATTACTATTATGGTAAAATTAGGTCACAGTTAACTTGTCCCAGTATGCCGTGAACTCTCCTCTTCTCACTTTTCGGGCCAATAATTTTGCAACGCCGTGACCGATTACTCTGAATGTAGCTTGTGGATTTTGTTGGAACCACCCTTAAGAAAACTTGATACTATTTTTAGCTCAACGTGCAGTCAAGATGGTCACAACAGCTAAAATCGTAAAATAACCGTCCGGGTGTTAACTCTGAAATGCCTTTACCGATCACCATCAATCTACAGTACGCCCCGAGTGAAGATTCCTATTGATTTTGGACCTCAGACTTGGACAGTTTTCGGCATTGTGCTGAAAATATATTTTTTTCCCGTGGCGTTTTTAAAAGCTATTTGATATAGACATTTTGTTTTAAGAGTTTTATGTCATTCGTAGTAGTAAGAGATAAAGGGCTAGTCAAAGTTGTAATAACAAAAGCCTAATCGCCAAATGGCTAGTAAGATGACACATGGGGAAATGATAAATCAAACTAAAATTATGTACTGTACACAGTACCACTTATAGTCGTCTAGGTATGTCTGAGTACATCCTCTATTGCAGTGGAGCCACTTCTATACATGTCTAATCGATTTTTCTACTTACGAATATTGTTGTACCGATCAGGCGTTAACATGTACACTTTAATACATATTAGATAGATAAATTGCCAGCGAGCAGAGGCTAGGGAAGGAAAAGTAATGTCATAAATAGCCTCTTTACACTCTAAATCCTGACAGAACAGTGACGTCATTATTGTTTATGATCTAAATCCTCGCCGAACACAGTGGCGTCATTGTTTGCTCTCTATAAATCCTTACATAGGTGACGCCATAACTGTTTACAGCACAAGCCAGTCTGCACCGAGTCTTGAATCATAGACGCCCTCCACTCCCTGCTGTATCAGACGCCAATAAATCTTGTTTGGGATTTGACTTTAAAGAAGATAGACCCGCACTACAATATAACCTCTCAATCCCACCTGGCCATCCTTTAGGAATACCAAAAGTCATATCCCATATCTATATACAGCATACATAATGCAGCCTACAGCCAAGTAACCCGTACATTTACCTGTGTATACTTTAGGATCTACAGTATATATAAACTAAACAACTACTTCGGGTATCAGGAATAACACTCCATGTTAATATTTAGGTTAAAAATGGCAGGTATATGTATAATATAATTTTGGTAGGTGGGCTTTGTGAGGCAGGGCCGGATTAAAGGGGGGTTAGAGCCTAGGGGCCCTCACACAAATGGGGCCCCGCAAAGCAGATCAAGTTCTGGGCACCCAAAAAGATACTGTGAGGAACACACACACACACACACACACCACACCATTATACCAATTTGAATTACGGGTTGGAAGAAGCTAAAAGCAGGGTACTTGACCAATCACACCACGAGAGCCAACTCAATGTGGTTTGATCACCAACGTGGCCGCCAGCCTCCACGCACACACACACAGATAGATAGATAGATGTTTCAGACCGACAGCCAAACCTCGCCCACACACACCCACAAGGAAGGAAGGGCAAGAAGGCGTTATCCCAAACTCCTATTAAATTTTTTTTCTTGTTTTCGTGAAAGTTTACCGCGTGGGTGAAGGCTTAAAGTTGCCCCCCGCCCTGGCATGAGTCCACGACCTTGTCCACCACTGTACCACTCCCTCCCTCCCTCCCATACTCCTCGCTTATCAACTCTTAAATCCTCTCCTTTTCCTCCTATCTCTTCCGTTATGCCTCTTCTCTTTTACGGATATTGACATTTTTCAAGTTACTTTTATAATTATATTTTCTTATCCTTTCGTATATATTTAATGTTTATTGTTCTAGTTGTATAATTTTTCTCGTCCCTCCGTTTTTGTTCTTGCTATTCTATCTGTTTCCTTCCATTCTCTCATTCTTATCTTATTTCCGCCTCTCCTTCATATTTCCTCCTTTTCCCATGTCTCTTATCCACCGTATCTTATATTATCCCATCTCTCCCCATACAGTCAAACCCCCAAAGACTTTATTAAAATTTTGTTCAGTCATCTATGGAGTTTTACATGGCTTCTGTCTTTTTCCTGTTATTCTGTACTTGTATTCTTGTTTATTTGTTGAGCTAAATATCTCTTTTTTCTGCCATTGCTTTGTTGTCTCTCTTCTTTCTTTTGTTGTCACTTACGTTATGTCCTTATGCATAATATGTCTTCACCCTGTTACTGTACGGATGAGAGGTGTTTTTTCTCAAATACGGTCACAATTCTATATCTTTTACGTTTATTTAACTTTTCGAATATTTGTTAGTAATTATATTTCAGTGGTTTTCCCTTGTCCTCCCGTGGCTATTATCCTTCCTCATTAAAGCACTATTAAATATATGGCATTGCTTCATTAATTATTTGCATGTATGTATGCTTAATAATAACTCCAGGTGAGCAATATTTATTAATAAATATACATCATGTGTTTTAATGCGGGTTTTGTGCGCTGGTAAGGTTTATATTCCCATCATATGTTACTTGTTAATGAAATAACCGCTCAAAAATATGTAAATACATATCATTAGTGCACTATTTCTCTCATTGGTTGGATGCTTACATGCCTGTTGATAACTACAGAAAAGCCATTATCGTTTGTGAGGGTTTGTACACAGCCAGAGATAATATTTTCACATGTTACCAGACGCCGAACGTAATGGAGCAGCTGGCACCCTAGAGAGCATCGTCTGCCATGCAATGCTTACCATCTTCAGTAAGAGAGGCGACGGTATAGTGTGTGGACGTGCTGCTCCCTTACTCTTGTACTCTTGTCACATTTCCTATCAATTTACCAGGTGAGTCCTTATGTAGACAAAGGTATTATCTGTGTTGTGTGTCCTTTCTATGTCGAAATTCGCGACTATATATGCCAAATATGAATGTCAACAGTGATCCTCTTATTCCCTGAGTGACTGTCTGCATAACTGATTCGTGTACATCATTATTATTAACAGTGATGGAGTTCATTATATTCACACAGAGAGATAGAGATAGAGAGAGCTTTCTTTCCACCATTGAATAGTCTGGAGAGTTTTGGTATATTATTTGGGAATTAATAATTTTTTTCATGTTAACGATTTTTCAGTCAACCATCGTTAACCCAACAAATACTGTAATTTAAGTTGTGGAAATTTGAACATAATGAAGCATGGTTTTTACTTGGAGTGTGATGGTAGTAGGTAATGCAACACCCTGCAGTCATTACTCATAGCCAGTGTTGTGGAAGATTACCATGGTGCTGTATTACCATGGTGCTGTATTACCATGGTGCTGTATTACCATGGTGCTGTATTACCATGGTGCTGTATTACCATGGTGCTGTATTACCGACTAGCCATCCGCATAACATACATTCATACACAATAATACACTCACACATTACACACTCATACACACAACACATTCATACACATAACGCATTCATACAACACATTCATACACATCATACACTCATACATAAAACATACAGTTATACATATAACACACACTCATACACATAACATACACTCATACACAACACACACTAATACACATAACATACACTCATACATAACATACACTCATACATAAAACATACAGTTATACATATAACACACACTCATACACATAACATACACTCATACACAACACACACTAATACACATAACACACTCATACACATAACACACTCATACACATAACACACACTCATACACATAACACACACTCATACACATAACACACTCATACACATAACACACACTCATACACATAACACACACTCATACACACACTCATCATACACATAACACACTCATACACATAACACACTCATACACATAACACACACTCATACACATAACACACACTCATACACATAACACACTCATACACATAACACACACTCATACACATACACATAACACACACTCATACACATAACACACACTCATACACATAACACACACTCATACACATAACACACACTCATACACATAACATACACTCATACACAACACACACTCATACACAACACACACTAATACACATAACATACACTCATACACAACACACACTCATACACAACACACACTAATACACAAAACATACACTCATACACAACACACACTCATACACAACACACACTAATACACATAACATACACTCATACACAACACACACTCATACACAACACACACTAATACACATAACATACACTCATACACAACACACACTCATACACATAACACTCATACACATAACACACACTCATACACAACACACACTAATACACATAACTACTACTTTGCTGTCACTCAGAATCGAGTATGACGATCATCCAGGTATGATGCAATAATATGAGTTATTCAGGATGTCACCTTCGTTGGTGAGCTGTGTGGTGACTAAAGAGGCCAATACGGGACTAGCAGGTTCGTCTACAGATGTTGCACATGTGGAGGGTTACATCTAGTGTGGGGGGCAGCATCTCTCCGGTGGTGGCGCTTGTCTGCCTCGGTATGCAGTCGGGCTAACTCGACACAGCTTGAATCCCTATTAACCAGAAAACTCTGATAGCTGGAAATGAAATTTTCTCAGAAAAATTTTTCCGAGGGGCACATTTTATACAAAATTACAAAAAAAAATATCCAGTACCCAGAAAATTCTGGGGATGGGGGAGTTTTTTCCGGGTTTGAGAGATGAAAATCGGGCACACATTCCGAAAATTTTGAGAACATATTCCGGTACCCGTCTGCCAGTCTGGTGGCCCTCCTTTTAACATTTTCAATGAATTGACAGTCTCTAGCATACCTCGGGGACCAGGCGGGGGTGACAGTACTCCAGGCGAGGAGGCACCTCACTCTTGAAGATCGTGATGAGCGACAGACCATCCAGGTATCTAAACAACTTTTTATGAGATCTACTAGTTTCTTTACCTGATTTACTTTCTCGCAATGGCCTGAGAACTTAAGTTCATTGTCAACATACACATCCAGGTCTTTTCACATTCGGTCTCAATGCAGTTTCTTTGTCCTGTTGGGACATGTGATACACTTCTTTACTCTTGGTACGTCCCAGGTGCTTTCTCTTGCATTTCGTGACATTGAATCTTAGCAGCCATTTTTTCGACCATTCTCAAAGCTCACAGAGATCTTGATACTGTACAAGAGAGTCCTTAGCCCTTGTAACTACATCTTTAAGTGCGGCATTCTGTAGTGCAATTACAATGTACCATTTTCAGAAGGCTTTGAGGTGCTGATTATATATACACATTATGTTTGTATCAAATGTTTGTCTTGAAGGTTCCATCCCTAGTCAGTTGGGACCACTCCCCGATTAGTGCCCATACAGACCGTTGCATGATATATGTTCTGAGAGAGAGGAATTCTGCAGCAGATTCAGTTGGTGGGAGTCGTTCCGGTGTCATGAATGATTTAGATGTGACAACTCGTTTACTCAGCATAGTGTGTCTCAATGATGCAAGTGAATCTGTTGTTTTGCTTCTGAACAGATGAAGCATTACACGACGTCCTACAACCACTATGGTACTGCTGGCCTTTCTGGGTGAGCAGAAGATTTCAGCACAGTGCTGTAGGGCGGAGTCTTTCTTAACAAGTTTCTGAAAGGCTGACATTTTACACAACCAGTCATAGCATGTAAGAACATAAGTGTGATGTACGTTCTGAACCAATGTTATCCTTTAGATGGCTGATGTCATAAACTTTGCTCTTGACATTTGCTTTATCTTATGGGAAGTAGAAGCCCTTGTCTGCATCAATATAATGAAGTGGAAGAATCAAGAGATCAATGTCGTCACCAACCAAAGTTGTTGAATGATCTACGGCTACTTTGGCTCTCGCGACATCATCACCAACTGCTTTCTTTACTTCACATTCCATTTTCATGAGCTGATCATCAATCTGGTCAACCATACACTGCTTATTGCAATCCTGTGATAGGAACTGCTCTTTTTTTCACCAAGAAGTCCTATTCTAAAGTGAAATTCACAATTGTACATAGATTTTGAACCGTGCCTTTGGTGTATCCAGTGTTGTCTGTTTGCTCTATGCAAACTATTCAACATATTTTTGCAAATAACACTGCTGCTGCTATTGACATTTTCAAGGCCTATGGTGTTCTGAAAAATTACATGGTATCCAAAGTGTGGTACAAACTACCATTATTGTGAAGATAAAAACATTAAATTTTTCATGAAATGATGCACAGTCACCAAGACAATGATAGGGTTAGGTTAGGTTTAATTAGGTTTCGTTTGGTAATTTTTCTGTGTGTTTTTACCCTACAATTTACCTATGCAAAGGACCCTATATCTGTGCTGAACTGAACACTATACTGTGCCTGCATACAGTATAGGATCGAGGCAATGACAAGTTTTCTTTTAATCCTTGATATAGCACAAAATGTTGGTAACCCTTCAGGACAAAACAATGAAAGAAGTGAGGTTTATGGTGTAACTCAGTTGAAATTCAACTGAAATTCTTCATTTAAAGACACACCATCAATGTCACTTCTTGTACAGTACAGTACAGTACAGGATATCTGTGTCATAAAAAAAAAGGAAAGCTCTGAGGCAAGCTGACCTTCTGTAGTGGAAGAAGAAATAGTAGCTCCAGACCTCTGGCCCAACAGCCCATTCATAACTGCATACAATTTTTCTGATCACTACCACAAGAGGCTACTTAACTTTTGTAGTAGGGGGTATTCAAATTTGCATGCCCTCAATGAACAAACAACAGCCCTGTGAGCAGTCATATACTTTGATCTTGTATGGTCTGTTCGCTGCTTACGCCACTCTCTCTCAGCACTTCTACCATCCCTGCAAAGAGAACTTACAGACAAGTCATACCAAGGAGAGTCATCTTGCTCTGTAATTCTCTTCATGACATAAGGACAATAATGGTCTAAAATAGATTGGAAGACCTCGTTATGTACCTGGTAATTTAACCATCTCCTCAGTTAACAAATCAGAAGAGTCAACTCAATTCAGAGAATGATTGATCCCTGATTAATCATGGTTTGGTCAATGTTTCTATCTGTATGGGTGACCGGGGTGATACACAGCAGCCATTCTAATAACTTAGTGATGAAGAATTATTAATGCTTCCATAAATTCAAAGGAGGAAAAAACAGTCACCACTAATCAGTCTAATGTTGAGCAGGGCCACAGAATAGATCAGTGCCACTCTGCCACCCAGAGCTCTTGCAGCAGGTCTGGGAACATGAACAAGAGAATGTGTCTTGGGAAGAGCACTATGAATAATGCTGATGTTTGATTCATACAGCCACATTTCAGTTACATGGAGGATATCCAAGCTGAACTCCCTCAGTAACTCAATAACGTGACACATTTTGTCACGTTATATTTTTATGTTGGGAAGTCATCATAGGGCAATCTTTATTTTATGCAAAATGACTGACTGACTCAGGTGGTATTGTACGAGTGGAACAATTTGCACAGCAGGGTGAGGTTTTTATTTGAGCATGTCCTAGACTCATGACTGCCTGTACAGAAAGCACAAACTGGCGAACCAGGCTTCCTGGGACAGCCTGAAGCAAGGTTGTTAAAATTTTTGGGAGTGGAGCATTGAGTGACCCATAACCTGTCGTAAGCTTTGTACATGCTCAATCCAACATAAACATATCCTTGAAACTTCTCTAGGGAATTTTGTACTTCAGGTGACATCTTCATGACTGTGAGTTTGCTAACTTCTTTTATCATCTTGAAAACAAGGGATAACTTGTAGCATTTTTATTTAACAGTTCTTGAATTTCAGTATTCTTCTCCGCAACACCTGAGGCTATTTCGTCATCAGGAAGTGTAGTAAGAATACAGTACCTACAACATATTAAGTTGACATTGTGGAGAGCAGAGTTGGAAGAGGCAGGTCCTCACCCACACCACAGGACAGAAAGTTGGCCAGTTCCCTAAGGACTTAATGCTTCTCTATTTCCTACCTTGATCTGACCCCCCCCTGTTGTTTAACACTCTTGGATTGACGGAGGTGCTCTCCAGCAAGATGCTCAGGGCCTGGCCAGTCACTCACCTCACCTCACTTGACTGCACCACACGAGAGATAATTGTACGTAATGAGTCATAACAAGCTTGCTATTTGAGATAAAGAGGTCGGATTTGTTGCATTAGCATTGTATATGCGTAAATTATCTGCAAACAGCTTTATATAAGTAATCACGATAAAAAGATTATTTATATACGTAAGCACAATTAGAACACACGCAGACACACTCAACAGAGATTATCGCTGGAGGAGAGAGTTGGTTCTATAATCATGGTGAGAAAAAGCCAAATGCTACATGCACAAAAGAATTAACTGGTTGTTGTTGATTAAATTCTTTAGCATCTGACCAGTGTGTAGCGTCTGACTTTTAATATATTAATATTAAACCGACACTTTCCTCTAGTGTTAATTTATCTGTTATTTTCTTATGATTCTTTCACCTGAAAATAAGAAGAAAAAAAAGGACTAATTTTACTATGGTGCACGACCTATGAAACATGATCGCTGCCTGCTAACACCCCTTTTATATCTGTACAGTACAGTATACCTGTACCTGTATAGCCAAATTCTGTTGCTTGAGGACCATAGATGTAGTACCGTACTGTGTCAGGAACCATGAGTCGGGAATGCTGCTGAAAGTGTGAACATATGGTGGCAGGTAAAAATTGAAAGTGCTGTACAATATATTCTGAGGCTGTAGATAATACAAAATAAATATGATACTGTAATTTTTTATTTATTTTTTCCTTTAAGTTCCAACCAACTGTATATTACCCCTTAGATATGATCTCTTCACCCCTTGAGTAAAGTGCCATTGTAGGGATATGCTCAGTGTACTCAAAGGGTTGAAGTTATCATGGTCAAGAGGTGAAGTTATTGTACTCAATGGGTTCAGATATATTAATGGACTAATTTATTGTACTCACAGGTACTGTACTCGGTATTCTGTAATTTGTTTAGTAATAATGCATAATCCCAGTTTGTAATAGCACTTCACCATCAGCCAAATTGTGTTTATTCCTTGTGTATCATGTCAATCCCCTGAGTACAAGGAGTACAGTGCCAACCCTAGGGAAAATGAATAACCCCAGTTAGTATGAAATTTTGACCCCTGAGTACAAGGGATTATCCCATTGAGTAAAATATGTTAACCCCTTGAATACAATTGATTTACAACCTCGAATAATGTGATTTAATCCTTTGAGTAACATGTCTTAAGTCCTTTGAAGACCAGTTCTCTAATTGAACTGAGGCCTGACTCATTCTGTTAATGGCCGAGGCTTGTCTTCACCACCTCACTGGCGGCTCGGTTTCTCAATGTAAACAAACACTTACCAGTTCATCCACAGTTACCAATGTTTGTTGATGGAGCAGCTGGTGTTGTTGAGGTTATCTGGGGAAGGTGTGTGTTGAGAGCAGCCCTCCTAACAACCCGGGTATCGTGTGAAGGCGGTGGTGGTGTGTGTCGAGCAAGTGTGTGCCTGTTGTTGAGGTTTACGGAAGACGTTTCGCATGACGGTGTTTCTATGGGGATTGTTTGACCATAGACTTATTGTTTTTATGTGGTTAAATGTTTGATATTTATGTTTTGTGTTGGTTTTAGTTGTCATTGATGATCTAGACACTGTACATGTGAACACCCTTTATTATCATTAGTATTAGGTGTTTTTGCTGAACTTTTGTGCATAAACTGAATGTTGACCCTAATATTATTTGCTTTTAGTTCCTGAATTAATAAAAAGCATGAAACCTGATTAACTGTAATTAGTAATTATCAGTGTGATGAATGTGTCCATGACCTTAGTTAGAGATACTGTACCATAGGCTCTCTTATAGCTAACTGTCCACTATATAACTAGTTCACTCACTGTTAGTTACTACCACTTACAGTAATGTAGTTCATTAATTTATATGTTGTTTACCACAGAGGAAAGAAAATGTAGGTAACTGTTGTCAGATTGTACGTAACATCTTCACTGCCTTTTATTTTTCAGTCACAAGAAAACCATGTCTCGCTCAGCTGACCGTTACCGGTACGATGGCCCCTTAATGTGTGGACGCAGGTTATGGGTTGTGCACCGAGGATAGTTACTTACATCTCTTCCACGTACTGCTTCCTTGGTTGTGTACACCTGCCACTGTGACACACATGTACACCTGCCACTGTGACACACATGTACACCTGCCACTGTGACACACATGTACACCTGCCACTGTGACACACACAGCCATGTGTACACTTGCCTCTGACATACACAGCCATGTGTACACCTGCCACTGTGACACACACAACCATATGTACACCTGTCAGTGGTAACACACACAGCCATGTGTACACCTGCCACTGTGACACACACAGCCATGTGTACACTTGCCACTGTGACACACACACAGCCATGTGTACACCTGCTTCTGTGACACCCATGTGTACACATGTCTGACACATAGACACATAGTTACACCTTCTGTGACACACATCCATATTTATATTTGCTTCTACACACGCATAGGCTACACTGTGTTCTTCAGTTCCATAACACTATTGTAACACTGCATCATTTCTTAAGACATAAGAATTATTTTATGGTGTTTGCAGATTCAGAGAGACATCTTGTAGGTCGAGCTTGGTAGAGAGGCATCCTGTTGACTTTAAGTAACAGCTGCCTGGCATACACATGCAGGCAAAAGCCCACTTAACACTTATTGACCACTTGAACTTATCCACCCAGACCCCTCCCCCCCCTTCCCATACACACATACACATGCATGCCTGCCTGACTTCTATACATACAGTACTATCAATTTTATATATTTTTTATTAATATTTTTTTGCCAGGGCATTCGGTTATATTATGCATGATATATTTATGATTATATGAATTATATTTGTGAACATTATCTGGCTTGTTTGTTCCTTACTAACAACTGTGAACTATCAGCACTGCACACTCCATATTGTTAGATACTATAAAGAGAACGGTGATGGGAGCGTTATAAATGTACAATAATGTTGTTTTAAAGTATACAAAGAGTGTACCAGGACCTGGTGTAGTCACTGATTCTCCAGTGATGGTACAGTACAGCACAGTACAGTACAGTACAGTACAGTACTGTACTGTACTGTACAATAGAAATAAATCATCCTTTGGTCTTACTGTATAGTATTTAGTCCTCTACCTATGACAGAACCTGTACCATTAGTCTGTCAACAGTTGTCTTGTTGTGATGATGTTCCTTAGTGGCCATCATCAAGTTTATTGACAAGAGAATATTTCATCATATATTTTATGGATATTGTTTGTTGACTGATTGATGTATTTGGGAATAAGTCTTGGTTGATAGATACATAAAAAAGGACGAACTGTATTTGTGAATTAATAGTAATGTACAGTGCCAAGGACAGAAAGCTCTTGTGTTATCTCTGTGTACAGTGTATACGTACAGTTCAGTACATTTCTCGACAAAATTGCAAAATAATTACCGAACGAATTTCATTAAAGTTTAGCTCACTCATAAAATGATACAGTACACTACAGTACATTGTACAGGTATTTATGTACAGTACAGAGTCATGGTTATAAAAAGATAAACAATAAAGTCATGGCTAAAGATTAGAGTATAGCTGGTAAGAGATGTACTGTGTATGTACTGTACTGTAACTATTGTATACTGTAGTGTATTAAAGACAAGCTGCTTATAATGTTTCTGAACACAAGACTGGCACAATCTCACACTAAAATGCTTCTTTTGTAATTTTCATATTCTTACTGTACTGTACTGTACCTGTACGTGAGTCACCTTAAAACAGTAGAATATGTGCAAAATTCTTTAGTAAATACAAAATAAAATTTGTGCAAGACATTCGGTCCCTGATATAGAGAAAGTTAGTACAAGAAGATAAGTTAGGAAGCACTATACATTACTGTACTGTAATGTAAGCTGCTGATGCCTTTGTGGTGGGCATTGTAGAAGTGACATGAGTCACAGCTACATAACTAAAGGTTTTATGGTAGTTTAGAGAAAAGTTGCAGACATAAGGATGATTTAACTTTATCAACTGTTAACTGCATGTTGGCCAACAAGGTACAGTACATTATATATGGCCAGAAATAGATGGACAAAAAAAATTATATATTCTGTGGGACAGTTACTGCAGCATGTTGTCTATTTCTTCAGCACTGTAATAGAGCCTCTACCTTATGTCTTATGTTTGCCTTAACACTGCAGCATGTGTGCACAGACCTCTAAGTCTATACTTCTGTAATCATTAATTATTTCCTGTGTGATAATGATTAGTTTTTTTTGTGTGTGTGCGATTAAATGTACTGTACAGGTATGTTCTTATAAACAGCACTGTACAGTACTTGTGTATCTGTAGTATTTGTTAATATTATGGGTGTTTGTTTGAGTAAAAAACTGTTTGTAAATAATAGAATTGGTTTAACTTGTAACTTGAGTACTATATGTATGTTGGTATAATGTGTTACTTGAGTACTCTGTGTGTGTGTTAGTATAATGTGTAACTTGAGTACTCTGTGTGAGATTCACTTGCTGGCTCTTTTGTTCACACTAAGACACTCCCAGAGATACAGTGTGGTGTTGGAAAAGGAAGGCGGCTGTGATGGATAACTGTGTTTCTAGTGCACACCAAGAACAGTAGTTGAGTAATGTTATGATGAGGTTCTGTATACCGTACTTAGTTACCTCACTGCAAATTCAAGACGAGTCATGTGCGTACGTGAAGCTAAGGTAGAAATATTCTTAAGTACAGTACACGTATTGTTGGCAGGGGCATTACCAGGATAAATTCAGTGAGGAGGCACTTCAGAATACAGTACTGTACAAGAGGAGGAGGCACTTCAGAATACTGTACAGTACTGTACAAGAGGAGGAGGCACTTCAGAATACAGTACTGTACAAGAGGAGGAGGCACTTCAGAATACTGTACAGGAGGAGGCACTTCAGAATACTGTACAGGAGGGGGCACTTCAGAATATGGGGGCACAACAATGACTTGTGAACATCCAAAAACTATCCCAACCCAACATCAGTTAACTTAGGCTTAGTGTTTGGTAAATTGTTACCATGTTGCCCTTGCGGGAAATATTCAAAGCACTGAAATTCACGACAGAATTCATAAAAAAACTTTAAATTTTTTTAGTATTTTAATAAATCTTTTTTATCAGACAAAATCAGTGACATGAGAATCCCAAGTGTACAGTATAGTACATATAATTATTGTTAAATTTAATAGATCATCAATATTCCAGCACAAGTTAAAGTACAGTATAGTACTCTTAATGGATAATAAAACTAATGTGTTCAAGGAAACACTATAAATGTTCATTATTTTATTGTAAATTCATCACGCTCAGTGGACAATAAATGCAATACGGTATATAAAACATCAACTGGCGATGGCAACCACGTGGCAATTTAAAATTTGTGCATCATAAGTCATTCCCTCAACAACAAATTTTATACAGTCTTATTTCTTTTTTAAATCAGCATATATTAAAATGAGGGGGCATGGCTCCCTGCTGCTCCCCTGTGGCAACACCCCTGAGTGTTGGGGTTGACTAACATAATTCTCATGTAACAATATTTGACGGGCCAATATCTCTGTGGTACTTTACAAAAATGGCTGTTATTATTAGTCTTTTTTTTATCTTTCTCTTTACCATATTATTTATTTCTGTTTTTTCCCCTCCTCCTCCACTTGCCTGTGCTTCATACACACTTCACTCGTGCTCTTCACACATTGTAATTGACCATAATGATGAGCATCCTCTGGAGGCTGCCAGTTTACCTCCCTACAACCTCCTGCTTACTTGGTATTCGTATGCCAGCCAATGACCATCACCTTCACTCGTGTAGGATTTGTGGAATAAAAATGTAGTTCTCTACACCTCCACAGTTACTCATTAAGGCATCTAGTTGTACTGCTTACCTCAGTAAGTTTGTGAATCACTGCTCCAGTATGCTAGTGTCACACCCAGGGCTGCTGAGAGCTGGCCAGAGTCCCGTGGAAAGATAAATTTATGGGGCCCCTTTTGACCTTCAAACAGTTATTAATATACTGTATCTATAACACTTGTTCTTTATTTCTATTTTTAGCATTCCATTTAATTTGATTAACTACTTTACAGAGAGGTTTAATATTTACCCTCTACAGTACTGTATCCCCATTTTTCCCGGGTCCTGCAGATTAATCCCAGCTTCCCTGCCCTCTGGGTGGTCCCTGGTCATAGCCACTATACAGAAACCCCCAGCAAGTACAGAGTGTCTTACAAATTTTTGTAGTGATTATGTGAATGCTTGCTTTACAACAGCAATATTATCCTCACTTGATGCTCTTGCAATACAAGTATTCATGCATATACATTTTACTGAGACACCCTGTATGTAGAGTGTTACATGTAAGTCTGACTACTAAAGACACAGAGACATTAAATTGTAACAATGTTTCTGAAAGTATCATGAGTCAACAGTCTCACTCACTGTTAACCTCATGTTGTTTGTTTAGTTGAGTGTCGTGTGGGAATTCTCAGCTCCGATTATGTTTTCTTTTGAAACAGAAGTTGTATACGAGATTCCCAGTGATTATTGGATGTACAGTATTTTTTATATTTTCTTGTATGAAAATACAGTACAGCACAGTACTGTATAGTCATGTGTTTGAGTTGTGTACATGTTGATTTCTCATATTACAGTACAGTAGTTAGAATAATCCATCTCTTGATTTAAACCTGGGCATTCTGAGTGTGTGTGTTTGTGGATGGGGATGATTGATTGTTACAGTGTAATAAACATAAGTGTTTCCCTGCATGGCAGCACAGCACACCTGTATGTTATTGACCTGCATGAGCACCCGAGTCATCATTAACACATTAACATGATTAATGTAGATCACTATTGATATTTTTTGTACATGTATTTATAAGTAGTTAAGTAAGTAGTGCACTCTCAGAAACTTGGAAGCTTTTATAAATGTTGAAACTAAATTAGAAAATGATGAACATTTATGTTTTAGGTTTTTGCACAATACTTTAAGTGTTAATAAGTGGATCATTTCCAGGATGAGTTCAAATCAGTGCGTGTTGGGTATTGATATAGGGACGACCTCGGTCAAGTGCTGTCTGGTGGACGTTGTATCCAAGGAGGTCATCTCCAGCCAGAAGAAGGACACGTACTCAGATGTCCCCAGCGAACTTGGTAATTACCACTACCAGTCTATCCCAGACTACTGTGCTAATAAGGCACTGGATCACACTGTATATATATCTGTGTTCCTGATAGTAGAGTAGAGTACAGTACAGTGCACTACAGTGCAATACTGTACAATGCAGTACAATACTGTACAGTACAGTACACTACAGTGCAATACTGTACAGTACAGTACAATACTGTACAGTACAGTACACTACAGTGCAATACTGTACAATACTGTACAGTACAGTATAGTACACTACAGTGCAATACTGTACAATTCAGTACAATACTGTACAGTATAGTACAATACAATACTGTACAGTGCAATACTGTGCAGTGCAGTACAGTACAGTTCTGTACAGTGCAGTACAGTACAGTGCAGTACAGTACAGTTCAGTTCAGTACAGTGCAATACTGTACAGTACAGTGCAATGCAGTTCAGTACAGTGCAATACTGTACAGTACAGTACAGTGCAATACTCTACAGTACAGTGCAGTTCAGTACAGTGCAATACTGTACAGTGCAGTACAGTGCAGTTCAGTACAGTACAGTTCAGTTCAGTACAGTACAATACTGTACAGTACAGTGCAGTTCAGTTCAGTACCGTACAGTACAGTTCAGTTCAGTACAGTGCAATACTGTACAGTACAGTACAGTGCAGTTCAGTACAGTGCAATACTGTACAGTACAGTGCAGTTCAGTACAGTGCAATACTGTACAGTACAGTGCAGTTCAGTACAGTGCAATACTGTACAGTACAGTTCAGTTCAGTACAGTGCAATACTGTACAGTACAGTGCAGTACAGTTCAGTACAGTGCAATACTGTACAGTGCAGTACAGTTCAGTTCAGTACAGTGCAATACTGTACAGTACAGTGCATTTCAATACAGTGCAGTGCTGTACAGTGCAGTACAGTGCAGTTCAGTGCAGTGCTGTACAGTGCAGTACAGTGCAGTTCAGTACAGTGCAATACAGTGCAGTGCAGTACAGTATGATGTTTAAGACTTTAAGGTCCTCTGTTTATGTTCAGTAATCTGGTGATACTTACTGAAAGTTTATTTTTATTAGTTAGTATGATAATGATGGGTATGGATAAAACTTTTTACTGTACATAGAAGTTAACTTCACAGAGTGGCTTGGCTCTGCAAGGGATGACCCAGGTGGAGTTGGGGCACTTTCTTTTTCCTTACTTAATGATATGGAACAAATAATTAAACACCCTACACGTGTTCCAGATCGACACGATCAGTTTACTAACAATCTTGATTCATTGTTTTACCTTTAACCCCTCACACTTCATACTCAATTTCTGCCCCATTAGGGTCTTCTGATCACAATCTTATTTCTATTAAATCAAACTGGGCATGACCACCTTCCCCACCCCCCTCTAAACTCCAACTATGGTGCTATCAGAGGGCAAACTGGCAATCCTTGCGAGAATTCTTCTCCGACTTTCCCTGGGATGAATGTTGCTTTTCCACTAGGGATGCCTCAGTAAGTGCTGAACGCCCAACTTACAAAACACCCACGGATACTTACTGGGTTAAACTTGAAATTTGCAGTATTTTATTTACCTGATGACTTATTTTTTACTTTCATTTACTGTATTTTATCACTCTGTTTCTTTTGTCTTAAATTTAGTGATTTTAGATGTACTGTACAGTATAGAAGGACATATACCCTTTCCACTCTTAAGCTGGCCCATAGGCCCTACCCCTCGTCTATAGCTACAATCTGCTATTAGTATAGAAGAGAGGCGTGGCTTATGGGCCAGGTTAGCGTGGAAATACTATAGGCTATGATATAGTGGGATTTTAAACATTGTTCTTAAGTACGGTATGCACATAACACGTGTCCCGACTTACGTACAAATCCGACTTAAGAACGTCTTCAGGAACGGAACCTGTTTGTAGCTCGGGGACTCCCTGTACATGTTAACCGTCTCTCTCATCTGGCATGGTCCTGGTTCCAAAGTTGCCAGATAAGAGAGAGTCCCCCAGCAGTGTCATGAATATTTTGTATGTTTTTCAGAGGCAGCATCAAGAGTGTTTCTGCAGAAATTATAATGATGTAGTGGTAATGTAGATTTTGTATTGAAAACTAGTTTAGTGAACCCTTAACTAATGTGATACTAATTTCTTATCATTTTTATTGCCTAGTCAAGTGTTATACTTGATGAGTATTGTGTGTGTGTGTGATATGTTCCTTATTATTTATTTATGTACTTGCATCATCTTCCCTGTGTCTGCATGTACAGATTCTCTCTTTTTATTATTTTATTTTCCATTCCTGTATCAAACAGTGCATTAAGGGGGACCCCAGTACATCTGACACTTGCTTTATGCACACTCGTTATATATGTACGTATGTGATTTTATAATTATACGAGGTCCCTACTTCTACCTACAATTCGCTTAAAGCGAAAAAGTTTGTCATTATGCGCTCTGTACAAGATATGGGAAGGGTAAAAACTGAGCATGAGGTGGCCTGTGAAATGGTGTGTTGCTATTTTTCTTATTTTATAATTTTATATTTTCTTTTCTTTATTTTTAAGACACATTAGAGTATGGTAATGATTATATTCCACAATGTTTATAACATTATTGTTGTCTTTTAGTGTGTCATTGTTCTGTAAAAGGTTGGAAGAACTCCAGAAATGGTTGTGGAACACATCCCCATTTTCTCCATTAGATTAAGAACTCACTTTATGTGATTTTGAGTTACACGAGGTTTTCACAGAACATAACTCTGACATAAAGTGAAGGTCAGGTGTATATTGAAGAAGTCAACCCTGTACAAATGTTTCATTGAAGAATTTTTTTAATTAAGTTCACATTTAAAATACATTCTTCAGTTGTACATAAGCACTTAATATTTAGTGAACAATTGATAACATGTTAAAAATGTGAAACAGTGAACTAAGAAATGAATTATCTTTCTGAATACAAACTACATAATAACCACAATACTGTACAGTACATTGGAATCCTGGGGTGACAGTTGGCGCCGAAGGTCTTGTGAAGTATTTATTTGTTTATTTATGTCCTTTAGATTGAGTTTTTTATTTTTGTTTATAAAATATCACAGAAGTGACCAGGGAGAATATAATCTACATTGCTGGAATTCTTATAAGATTGTGATTAATTTGAATATAATCATGCTATAGTTTGCACTAGACAAAAATTTTAATAATCATTTAGTGCATTATTTTGAGCACATGTACAGTACAGCTTTGCCCTTAGGACAGTGTAGCGTGCTCAGAGAAACATTAGGCGCGAATTTTGAAATATGATGCGCCAGATTGACTCGTGCAAAATAGGAAAGATTCGCTTTAAATTAAAACATTGTCCTTAATTGTGGGTGTCGCTTTAAATCAATAATCTTAAATTGAATTGCTTTAAATCGACGTTCTACTGTACTATGTATTTGTATTATTTTCCTCGGTTCGACTTACAACTCGATCGACTTACGACCAGGTCGTCGGAACGAAACCCCATCATAAGTGGAGTAGAGACCGATATACGATTATACATTAACTGATTAATAATACAATATGTGTACAAAAGACTGTATTTTGCTATACAGTATCATGCTAAAACACTAATCATTTGTGAACCAAAGAACAGTGAATGTGTGACACACAAAAAACTATGAAAGCAAATATTAAAGACTCCCAGAGTGCACCAACACTACACTCCCTCAGGGAAATTTCCAAGAAGCATTCCCAAAATAGGGTAAAGGTAGTTTTAAGCTTAAAGTTTTTATCATATAAAATGTCACAGACTAAACTTAGCAGAATATAACTTACATTGATATAACATTTCGGTCCGTTTTTATTGTACCTTAAGAATTCGGTTAATTTTATGTCTGCCTTCAAAAATGATTCTGTGCCTTACAACAAATTTTTCCCTTCTGTGTTTCCTCCTTATCAACTTTATTGATGACAAAATGTCTGCTCTATAAAACTTCAGTTAGGTCTCCAAATTGTCGTTATTTGACATACTTTTCACTCATAATACTCAACACACAAAATATTGATATCATAGTGAAATTGGTCTCGGCTTATCTTGAATTTTAAACTGCAGTTCAGGTTTGTATAAAACCATTTTAGTCCTTGTCATGTACTGTGATTACTGTACAGTACTTATATATTTTTTAACTTAATGATAATTTATGAATGTACAGTTAATTTAGAAATGCAGTGAGGAAGGCTATGAAGCTCTCCTTTTATGGATGACAGTCCTTTGCTGTTACATGAAGAACTGTAATAACATTTGTAGACTGTACCGAGAGTGTTCTTCACATTATTAGGATAATGATGAGTCTACTTAAGATAAATGATGTAGCAAATGAGTTTAACTTTGTTCAATAAAATGTAAAGTATTTCATGACTACCAAGGGGTCTCACACTTCATTATCTTGGAACAATCTACCAGAGAATGTTGTGACGGCACCGAGTGTGAGCTCTTTCAAGACAAGACTTGACCAACACTGGAGCGGGTTCAGGTACATTCAGGAGCCGGTGCATGCCCAGTATTTGCCAACAGTGGGTGACAGAGACGTGACCGATCGCCCGGGCGGCTAGCGAGCCGATCTTTTGGTGAAGAAGATAAATGAAAAGGAAAAGTAATCAGAGACGTGACCGATCGCCCAAGTGGCTGACAGGCCGATCAGTGGCGAAGAGGATAAAAGTGAAAAAAAAAGAAATATCTCTTTATGGAGACTTGAAACATGATTAAGGAATAGATTAAATATTTTATTATTAAGTATAGTATTATTATCTGTCATACAACATGACTTACTCACATCTTTATTTGGCAATACTAATGAAGGAAGTCCTATAACAGGCACAGAAGGCAACAAGCAGGACGTGCCTCGCATTCTGTCGGCACTGCAGATGTGTGTCTCGCGACTGCCTAGAGAAGGGATGCGCAAGGTGAAGAAAATTGGCGTGTGTGGCCAGATGCACGGCTGTATGCTGTGGAAGCACGGTGAAGCTTGGGAACAGAAACCAGATTCTGACAGGTACTGTACATTATTGTGATATGAGTTGAACAAGATGGTATTTCCTGAAGTAGTTGGATGAAGAGTTGAGAGGTGGTGATATGGCTGCACATAGTTAAGCTGAATATTGTCTTGTCAAATGCATGAAAAATGGAAAACATGTATTTCAACAATATTGTTTTGATGCTGATTGTATGTATTGTTTAAAGTTGCCAATGATGAAGTAAGAATGTCATATTGGCTTAACAGGCAAATGGATAATTGTGTGGAAATACAATGTTGATGAGCAAAATACAATACAAATTTAATAGGGTATAGTACATGTTCACTGAAATGATTGGATGAATACAGATTATTCTAATTCACAAATATGACTTCTTTTTTTGGTGCATCATTCCTCAGATTTCTTAGTCATCTTGGTGAGGTATCTGTTCATTTTCAGATTTGAAGTTGGCCAAGTAAGTAATCTGTATACATGGCAAGACAGTCGATGCTCACAGGAGTTCTTATCATCGCTCCCTGTGCCAAAATCACACCAGACAGTATCGACTGGTTTTGGCTGTGCTACGTTACTCTGGTTCTCCAAACACAAACCTGAAACTTTAACGAGGTAATCTGTATTACCCTTAGATTAATAAATATGAAAAAATTTGTTTATATAAATGTTGTATTGTAGTTGAAGGTGCATGTTATTTTACCCGATTATTATTATTTATTTACTTTTTGTCGTCAGATCAATGTTTTGTTCATGTTTTATATTGACGTCACATGTAATGAGCCCCATAACTGCAGATTCAACCGAGCGGGAACAATCCATGACTTCCTTGTGTGTATGTTGTGTGGGCTAGACCATCCTATTATGTCCCTGCAAATTGCTGCCTCCTGGGGCTATTTCAACACCGTTACTAAGGTACAGTGTTTCACGAAGCCTTGTCTGCTTCGGTGAATAAATTTAATCCAGTTTCTTTGTACCTTTCATACCGTAGTTGATATTCATGCATATCTTCAGATCATGAATGGTTGACCTACTTGATTCAGACAAATGTTGTAGAAAATTGGTTGTCATTTTTATTTTAGCAACCAAGTTTTTGTCATTTTGCATGTTCAGTATATTTGTCTTGAGCAATTTTTATTGTGAGTTGCATGTGCTTTAGGAAAGTTTCATTGTGAAGTCATACTTAAAGGCATGATGATGGAATGAATTACTGTACTGTATGTGATAATGAAGGTCACCCATCCTGGAGGGGAGGAGTGAAGGGTATATTGAGGGGCTACAGTACAACGGCAACAATTGCATTAATATAGAGGGATAAAGTGTTATTCAAAGATGAGAAAGCTTTGAGAAGACTACTCACATTGCCTTGATCGATATTAAACAATTGTGCAATATTATTGAGGTAGACAGAGTAGTAAGATACATAGACAATGTAAACCACTGTATTTGACTATATCTGAGAGAATGGTGCAGCTCACTTTGATGTATCCAGGTGATACTGGTTACAGGCTGCTGATGGGTGATAATGTTTTGTATGAAGTGACAGAGATAAACCAAATATATTAGGGCCTTGTTGTGGAAGAGAACACCAAAGCAGAACAAATCTGTTACAGTAGTGTAGTGAGTGACTGATGTATGTTTGTTCCTGATACTAAGCACAGCATTATTATATTGTGAAAATGGGTGTTGAAGATTGAGAAAGTTGGTGTCTTTAGATTGAGTGATATAAATTGAGCACCTGTGATAGGTAGCTTAAAACATAGATATGAATGTACAGATGTCGACAGAATTTAGAATTTTAACCCATGCAAGTGTGGAAAATGATGATGGTGATGAAATAACACTGGATGTAATGGAGGAAACTATAATTGCAATAAAATAATGTTTCATAAAGAAGGTCTTATAAGATTCAGGTGAGTATGTAGAAGCAGAGAAACATAAAAGGAAAAGGGAAAGATTGGACTTAGAAAGTATTGTGTGAGAGTTGGAGAGGAACACACTCAGGTGAATAACAATTCTCTTGTTTTCATGAATTTCTTAAAGATTTACTGCCAAATAATAGAATAGGCATACGTATGTGTCTTGTCAATGTATAAAAAGCCCTCAATTAGTCATTGTTTTGCTTATCTAGAATGTGATAGAACACTGAAAAGTTTTAGTGTTTGTCAGTTGTTGGAGTATTTAAAAATATAGTCACTGTCAACAATCCCTTAAGTTGTGGAAGGAATAAAGGCATAATCTAAATAGAAAAACATCTGCAAACCTTCATTATGAATTATATTAATACAGGAGTCCAATAACATGATCATAATTCATAATGGAGATTTACACCAGGAATGGAATTACGAGTCTCTACAAGAAGCTGGACTGCAGTGTGACTACCTGCCAAAGGTGGTGGACTCTGGGGAGGTGGTGGGGAAGTTAGCCAATGCCTGGTACCTCATACCAGCCGGCACACCCGTCATCGCTTCGCTCGGCAAGTGTTTTCAGAACATAATGTCGACAATTACTGTAAATTTGTCCATGAAATATCAGAATCTCACGGAGTTTATTTCCCCTGATATAGTTAGGATTGGATTAAGATATACAATGGTTAGCTTTGTAAATACAAAATGAAATGTACAGAAACTTGATGTACACTGATTTATATGTAACTTCCTCCCACAATATACTGTACAGTATCACCTTCCTTGTAGACCCGTCACTTTGTCTCTCCCACTGCATTCTTCCATCTGTTTCATCATCCATTCACTCAATCATCCACACACATACTCCATCATCCACACAATCACACACTCCTTCATCCATGCACACACTCCACATGCACTTCATCATCCACACATGCATTCCATGATCGACACGCACACTACATTATCCACATGCACTCATCATCCACACACACACACACACACACACACACACACACACACACACACACACACACACACCATCTTCCAAACACTTCATCATCCACACAGACTCCATCATCCACAAACTATATCCTCCAAATATACTCCATCATCTGTACACACCATCATCCACACATATAGTCCATCATCCGCATCCTTCATCAGCCTACCCTCTCCACTTCCCTTTGGTCTTCCTCGTCCACTGTTTTTGTTTTCTTCTCTCCATCACAGCCTCACACATAGATATTCTTTACTTTATATTAATTAACTTACAGGTGACCTTCAGTGTTCAGTCCTGCCGTTGCTCTCCAAGAATAGTGAAGCCGTGATCAACATTTCTACCTCAGCACAAATATGCTTCAAGATGCCTCAAGTAAGATGCTGATCAGTTCTGTATAGGGTTAAGTATGCCTCAAGTAAGATGCTGATCAGTTCTGTGTAGGGTAAACTATGCCTCAAGTAAGATGCTGATCAGCTCTGTGTAGGGTTAACTATACCTCAAATAAGATGCTGATCAGTTCTGTTTAGTGTTAACTATGCATTAATATGCTTCAAATAAACTTCTAATTAATACAATATAGGAATATCGGTTATGTTTCAAAATATATCAAGTAAAGTTTTACCAAAGGTGTGTAGGATCTGCTGTATTAAAAATGCCAGATGATTTTGGCAGTGTTCAAGGATGCTATATACTGTACTGTAATAGCCAGAATCTTTGATACCGAAACCTTCCAATACCCGAAAATATATACAGTACTGTACAGTAGTGTTTGCATGAATTAATACAGTATAGTTCTGTGGCTGTTTGCAGTTATGCCTCATGGCTAGTGTTCAAGCTAGTAGAAGCTTCCTAGCTGCTTATCTCTAGCAATGGTGCTCTGTGCCCATATGCGTAGTTTAGACTCGGAAACATTCGCCGATGCCCAGAAAAAAATTCCATAATTGTGTGATTTTTACAGAGACGAGGATTCGTCTCATTACCAGAAAATCTTTTGAAAGGGAGACGTCCTCCACCAATTGTTTTGGCTATGAGATATATTACAGGACTGTATTTTCAAACCTTCAATATTATATGAAAATTATGAAATATGACTTGTAAAAGTTGATGTAAACACTAACGAAAACAATGGCGTCCCATCTCCTCTTGTGTGACCATATTATTATTGATTTATATTGTTTAAGGTGCATTCATAAACATTATTTAAAGAATATAATTTGCATTCTTCATTAATTTTATTGTTTTGGGGGGAAAGATAGTAAAAAGCCACACAAAAGATAGGTAAAGGTCACACTTGGGAACGCATCTCATTATTATTGCTTTATTTTAATATTAATTAATGATTCACGATACGATGATTCACCTTACACTGCAATATTGGAGGACACATTACCGTCATTATTCATGGCGTTACTGTAATTTGACAAATTGTTATCTGTACAGGACTTTGCACCAGCAGAGGAGCCACCAGTCAATCCAGAACCAATTGAGTACTTCCCCTTCTTTGATAACTCTTACTTGGCCGTGGCTGCCTCACTGAATGGCGGTAATGCCCTTGCAGCTTTCGTGAGAACAGTGCAGCAGTGGAGCCTTGACTTAGGTTTTCAGGTTCCTCAGTGTAAGTTAACAAACAAAGTCCTTTAAACTGTTTCGTTTAAGACTTTATAGAATAACAATACTCAGGCATGGTAAATCAGTTATTCTGATGTGACAGAATGAATGACTCATTCATTATGAAGTAGAATAGCATGAACAAAGCATAAATTGTGTGTTGAAGAATAATTGCATTATTTACAGTGTAAACAGTGACACAGTGCCCAGCTCACTGTGCTATAGTCAAGTCAGCTTAAGTTAGGTTTGGTTCTTGTGGGAGAGAGTGATAGAATGTTCCTAGCCAAGCTACAGTATGTTCTGCTAGAATGGCGAGTATCATACATAATTAATGATTGCTTCTGATTTTTTTTAATCCTAACTCATTAAATAGACTATTTTGTGTTGGTAAATTATGTACAGTACTGAGCAATGGCTGTAGAGTTACCTTAGACTCACCCAGAGGATATGTAAAAGAGGATTTTAAGAGCACTTTAAAGAGCTTCAATGAAAGTATGTTCCTTTATAGATCAATAAATATTTCTCAGTTATATCATGGCAGTGTTCAACTATATTAGTGTACAAACCTTTGAATTAACGTAAGTTAGGTTGATGCTGTGGTTGTAATATAGATCACCTGGGAGTCCTTTCTTGAATGTTGTGACATCTCGTGTTTTTGTTACAGCCAAAATTTGGCAGAGGATTCTTGAGTTGGGAGGAGACCCCCAGAGCAAGTCATCACTGGTGATCAAACCAACAATCTTTGGGGAACGCCACACACCCATGGCTAACGCTGATGTATCCAACATTGACCTGGGCAATGTGTCCCTGGCCAAAGTTACACGAGCACTGTGTAAGGGAGTGATAACCAACATACACAGGTAAGGTCTCCACATGACAGTTAGTGTATTAATTATTCTTAACCATATGGATTAATGGTTCCTAAACTCCTTGGTTGATGACCCTTGACCACTACCAGTGTGACTCAGCATCACTCTTATGTATCAACTACTGTGTTCTCTTCTTCATTCCAGATATAACTTCCTCATTTCTCACTTTAATCCATCTTAACTCTATTAAGCAATTAATATAAAGGAGAATAATGTTTCTGATTATTACAAATTTACATATCTACAGTATTGTACAGTATATCATATAAAAAAAAATTTCAGCATGATGCCAAGGTCAATGCTTGTAGAGAACGGTATTACAAGTATCATTGGGGGCGGGTCAGCCCTTGCCAGGAATCCCATCTTGCTGCGGGAGATAGAGGAGCTGTACAACCTTCCCGTGTCAATAGACTCTCGGGGTGATGCTGCATATGGGTCTGCCCTGGCAGCCATAAATGCCAAATAGAGTTGAGACATTATTTCAGGATATATTCAAGGTAGGAAGGGTAAGTGTTTCACTCAATAAGATGTAGGTTTGTAAAAAGAGGAAGACTTGGAGGACTGTGGACAACTCTTTCACCAACCTTCTAACATTCCTCTTATTTGATCCACTCTTGATGGAATATATTGTTTCTTGATTTAAATAAATAAAGTATCAGTGTGGTTTAACTTCATGAGAACTGATTTAAAAGAAATACTCAAGTCTGTGATAGTGTGTGTGTGATATATATATATATATATATATATATATATATATATATATATATATATATATATATATATATATATATATATATATATATATATATATATATATATATATATATATATATATATATATATAATAATAGATTTTATCTAATTACAGAATGGGCAGTTGAGTGCATATATGATGATTCTATGTTCTTGCTTCCTATGTTGTCAACCCAACCCACCAAGATAATTGTACAGCAAACCTCAGGAACTGAAACCCTGTTTCTCAAATGCAAGTTGAGGAAAATTTCTTGAAGAACAGCATGAAAATATCTTGGGCTTGTGTTATATTAAATTCAGTCCAATCAGTCACAATATTTAGGTCTTCTGCCACTGTTTGTTAAGCCTTATGAGTCAAAGATCTTGTATCTGGTATTGTTGTAGATTTTGTGCTACAGCAAACTCAGCCTAGCTAGTCAAAGATCTTCTATCGGAATTTAGAGTTCCTGCTGCAGTAAATTATGTACTGTGAGACTCAGATTGTGTGTGTGTGATTCTGATATAGGTTCGTAAATTTTTAGATGTGTTGCATAATACTGAAGGAATGCAACCAAGATGTTTGGTGTCTTCTTCCCGTGCCTGAACCCGTTCCTTATGACTGTCTTTCTTACCCTCTATATCTCTGATGCCTTGTACCCTTCTGGAACCTGCTCTAATACTGAACAGTTTCTTTTGATTATCTTAGATCAACGTGGGCTGGTGGTTCTATCTTCAATTGAAGATCGTGAAAATATTTTATTCCTTCTTTTACTTACTTCTGGCAACAGCGAGTTCTTTGTAACTGGTTGTGGCAGCTCCCTCTTATTTAGAGCTGTGCTGTTTGCATATTTTGGTACAAAGTCCACAGCATTTATTTTCATTTATATCATTTAGGACCTTGGCTGTAGAGTAGGTATTTTTTCATGTTTCTATTTTTTATTTGTATAGAGGCTTAATGAACCACTTCCAACACTTGAAGTTGGTATTGAAGTGCCATTACTTGAATAGATGAGAATAGAATCTCTCATAGTGTGTTTTGGTGATCCCCCCTCAGAAAACAACCAAACTTAGCTTGTTGTCTGCCTCACAAGTAGCACTCTGATGGTGATACAAGCTTTTTCAGCATACCATCTACTCGTAGGTACCAATGATGAAAATGTTTGTTGAACAGAATCCCTTTCAGTTTGAGAAAAAGAAAATTGTATTGTTATACATTATATATGTAATTTCTGTTGTTAGTAATCCAATTCACTATGTATCTCTGCTGACTGGTTTTAGTTATAATTTAGAAACTGTGGTTAACAGTGTATTAATCCAAAAGCAATTGTAACCCCTTCTGTCAAGACCTGGGGTGTGGTGGTGATCTGTCGGCTAGTTTATCCCCGGTGTGGGTTTAGTTGTTCAATGAGAGTGAAAAGGCTTGTGATGGGATCACCATGTTTGGTAGTAAGATAAGTCTTCCATAATGTATATACTCATATCATATGTGGCCAACAGGTCAGGCCTCCAGGTTAAGTGTGGTAAACAGGTCAGGGCTCCAGGTCATGTGCAATCAACAGGTCAGGGCTACAGGTCACATTTGTGGTCAACAGGTCAGGACTGAAGGTCACAATTGTGGTCAACAGGTCACAACTGGAGATGCTCTCGTGATTTTAGTTTTAACGATGTTGGTCAGTCTGTGTGCTAAATGCCCATGAATTATATATATAAATGCTTAAATATTAGGTAAATGCACATTTATAAGTAATTATGAGTTCGTATACAGTAATACCCCAGTTAGTGCTCAGGATACATTCCTGGAAAACAGAGTTATTTGAAACAGCACTCTATGGGGTCATTATACCATTGCATGTTTGGAGATGTGTTCCTGATGACATTATTTTTCTACCTATGAGATATATACACTGTTGTATGTGAAGGGTAAACCAAGTCCCCCATTGACGTCGTTGAGAAAAAATTGAAAATACAGTACAGTAAACCCTCGATAACTCGGCACATACGGGGCCCTGGTCTTGCCCAGTTATCCCAAATTATCGACCCATATACTGTATGTATACATGTAATTACTAAATGTCAAAAAGTATCACTTACCAGTACTGCAGGTGAAGAATAAAGCATTGTACAGTGACCCCTCGGTTAACGAACTCAATCCGTTCCAGAAGGTCGTTCGTTAACCGAAAAGTTCGTTAACCAAAACCATTGTTTCAATGGGTTTTTGGGTAATTGGTTCCAGCTCACCGAAAATTTCCTAAATTCAACAAAAATGGTAGAAAAGTTCACTTACTTTTAGGTGTGTATGTAGAAGGCTCCTGGATGATGATGATGATGATGATGATGGGAATTACAATAGGGGTGGAGGAGAAGGAAGAAGAGAAGGCATTGGGGTGGAAGAGAAGTCACCCCATGGCACTATTTCACCCATAAAATTTTAGTTCTCTTGGTGTATTTCAAGATTATTTTCTTTAAATCAACACTGTACTGCATTATATATTGTCAATATGTAAAATATATTTCAAAATGACCAATAATTTGCTTGGAAACACAGAAAAAAAGCATTTAGTTGATGAGAGTCTCAAGCAAGATGTTACCTCCAGTGAAAACAGAGAGACTAACGCCTGTTTGCTGTGTTAAGAGGCTGGATGCTGTGCTTTAAACTAGTCACTTTACCTTCAATTATGTTCAATAATTGTTAAAATGACTAAAAAATTGAATATTAAACTTTTAAAATTATTGAATAGTATAAACTTCTTGATATTTACTAAAATAGTTAGGAATTTAAGCCCTAGAACTGATTAATGTATTGGCGGACTGATACTAAAGCTGGTTGCCTGGCCAGTGCAAGCGAAAACATGTTGAGCTCGGTTCGTAAGAAATTCGTTAACCGAATTTTTGTTCGTTAACCGAATTGAAGATCCTTATGGAAGGCAGTTCGTTAACCGAAATTTCGTTAACCGAGGCGTTCGTTAAACGAGGGGTCACTGTGTGTATGTATATATATATATATATATATATATATATATATATATATATATATATATATATATATATATATATATATATATATATATATATATATATATATATATATATATATATATATATATATATATATATATATATATATATATATATATATATATATATATATATATATATATATATATATATATATATATATATATATATATATATATAGTGTAGTCACCATTCTTGTTGTTATTTCTGTACTGTGCTTCTACAGTACAACTAAGGTCATTAAGTGCTTAACAAGGCTTGTAATACACTATTCCATCAACAATAAAATATATGAGAGATAAAACTGTGTTCTGTTGGTCACCTTACCAAAGCTAACTTTTCTTAGCCTTACTCTAAATTATCTAACCATACGTGACCTGACATCCTGTGTTACGAGCATTCATTTGCCCTGAACTGACCTGTAGTAAACTAACCTTGCCTTACCTTGCTTAACTTAACCTCACATGTTGGCATATGAATTGTTTTAAATATCAATAATTACAGCTTCGTGTACAGTATGAACATACACAAACCAGGAGCTACAAATATAGAACTTGAATTCATCAGCCTTAAAAGTGTACAGAGCACATTTTAGACTACACACAGCAATAATATATTCAAATGCAGTTTATTAGTGTGTTCTTGTTAGAATATGAATTTATATGTCTGCATTACATTTATACTATATAGGTTATAGTCATGAACCTATTGTCATTATCCACTACACATATTTAGTTCTGTTTATATTAATTTTGGTGTGTTATGTGTGAGTTTGTTTAGTTGTGGTGGACTCTGACAATATGTTAACTTTTTCCAAGACTTATGACTACAGTCCCAAGGTTCATGTACAAGATTTTCTCATACACTGGAGGTTTTGGTACCAAGGCCAGATAATTGTATACAATAGTCTTTTAAATTACAGATATCTTATTTTGATTCTCATTATTAGTCCTTAGTTAAATGTTGAAGCCTCTTTGACTGTTGTTTAGCTGTAGGTTATCATGGTTGAGATCTTTCCTCTTGTTGTATTTAATTAGATGAATACAGTAACTTGATGGTATTTATTTTGAAGACTGTGCCATCTTCAAACTACCAGGAGATTCCCATTACTATAGAAGAGCCTGTGCATAGGGTGAGGTACTGAGAGGGATCTTAATGATTCGGTATACTTGTGTGGAAATACTGTATCATAAATGTCTTAAACTTAACATGCTTGTCTCTCAAGCTGTATTATATGTTAATTTAAACTTATTACTTGTATATACCTTACTTGTAGGTTTGTGTTAGTTGAGACTAAGGAGTATTGCTACTTCACTGGGCTGTATGAACAACTGTAACTTCACTTCATCTCATACCTGCATTTGTGGCATTTCATCCAGTATGGTTACTAATGTGCTGTACTATGTTGGAAAACATGTTTTGTTTTTTAAGTTTTTATTTAAATGTAAAGTATAATGCTCAGATATAAAGAACTAACCATATTTGACCTCGTGTTAGTGTGTTAGAAAAATGATCCTAGTGTAGTTATTAAACTGTGGGTGAAGACTGTGGTGCAGGTTAACAAAGATTTAAACAATGAATACTGTATTTCTTTAAACTACAGGTATAAGAATGTACAGTACAGTTGCCTCTAGGTATTTCTAGGAAACAGCCCAATCAATCAGTTCCTAGCCACATGAGTAGTGCAACATTGCCACAGGAGCAAGGGAATGCACAGTAGGGGGTAACAACACGCCTGGAGGTAACTGTACTAAACTAAGGCACAAAAATAATATCCAAAAATAAAATCAGGCTACACTGACACTTTACAATAACTAGCAAGTGCTAGGGGACAAAATGAAGGAAGAAAACTTCCCAAAAGATTCTATGACTTAATTTTATCTCTAAACACTACCTAGATACAGTAATGCATTTGTTTAAGGTAGAACCTTAGTGTAATATTCAATTTGCTTTTATATTCTATTTTTGTGTTTAGCTTTAAGTCCAACATTTAAGTGCATCATCCATTTCTCTTATCTGCGATGTTGATGGGGTCGATTCAGGTTGCAATTTTCTTTTACATATGAGTAAAGGAAATGGGGTAGCCCATAACCACAAAAGTGAGTGAGCCACCTGTACCTGTCATTATACACGATATAGGTTAAATTAACTCTCTTATACTGTAGTTGTGGCTCTTAAGCATAAAATGGTTTAGTCTTTTGCACCACATAACATCTGGGGGGGGGTCAGTGATAGTTATTTAAGCTGAATTTTAAATATACTCAGTCTCACACACATATGTCAAGTTACAGGCTTTATATCTAAGATGGATTTATGTGAAGCATTATTGAATCACGGCCTCTTTTAGGTACAGGTATATGCTAAGAGCAACTGACGTTGACGTCTAACAGAAAGGTGGGGGAGAAGAGAAGGGATTCAATGCGGTAGGGAGGGATAAGAGGGTAGGCTAGGTACGGTGGGTGGTCAAGGTGATAATGAACACAAGAAGATCAAAGGTGAAAGTCCACTGTTATGGCCACTGCAGAAATTATTTTAATTAAGATTTACAGTATTGTGTGTTTGGGTCTTCATGAATGAAACAAATAATTTTGTCATAATTTTGTAAGAGGATGTGTTGTGAGTCACTCAAATCTTCAGGCTAAAAATTAATATTATATAAACAGTTAACTGGATCAACTCTGAATATAGATTGAGCTCAAAATTTAACATATTGTGTTCACGACTAGTCTGTGTATTGCCTTACATAAATGACCAAGATGTATGGGGCTACCCTTTTGTTACTGCTACAGAATTCACAAAATGTCTGCACTAACTGCTTATTTATATGATCTCAAGAGCAAAAATAACTATAATAATTAAGATGCAGTTGACGTATAATAATACTGCAGCATTAACAAGAGTTGGGGTGTATCACTGGTCTGTTGTTAAGATGAGATTTTAAATTGTAAGCTGAGATCAGTTTTTTGTTTCACTGATTATTTATCTTGTTTTCAATACAGTACTCGCTAAAATTTAGATTCATATAATCTAATGCTTATAGACGTGATGTCATAATACGCTGTTAAACATTCTCAGAGTAAATTGATCACTGCCTCAATGTGAATTGCACCGTAGGTCACAGTTCTTTTAATCTACATGTAATGTACAGTCAGCCAAAGAATCGGCAACCTCACCCTGGCTTTCATACTCGCAATTTTATCTGGTAATACTTAATGAAGGGAGGCTCTGTGTAAGGTTGATTGTGGTTGATGGATCTATTTTCGGCTGTGTTACTGTCAGGACAAATATTAAACAATTCAAATGTAGAATTTTTATATTAATAAACTATTTATTGTTATTTGAGATCGTGAGAAGTTTCCAAATGTTCGTTTATTGCTTAAATAATGAAGAAGCAATATTGATGAATTGGCAACTCAACTACAATGAGGGCTGCCACAAGATTCTTAGGTAAAATTGTCCTCATTTTAGGCGTATTCCTGGTCACTTCAAAACGCATAACTAGTTATGCTATCTATTGCTCATACCCACTTGGGCATACCAAGGCAAAACTTGTCCCGAGTAGATATGCCTTCAAAAGTAAAACTAATTATGGTCTTTCCTTATTTTGACAGTGGGCAGAGATGAAGGGAAACTATCCAATCACATTCGTCGATCCATACACTCAAGATAAGATGAGGCCTGTGTGAAAATTTTTTTTCAATAAAATCACAAATTACACAAGGGATAATGGATGTATATCACTTGAAAAATATATTGTGGGGTATCACAGGGCAGTGTATTAGGCCTGCTGTTGTTTGTTTGTTTCATAAATGACATGCCTGATGTAGTACACTCCTCCATAGAAATGTTTGCCGATGACGCCAAGTTATTTCGGGAAATTAAGAGCCAAGCGGACTGTGAAGAGCTGCAAAAGGACCTCTGTGGGCTCCAGGAATGGTCGAAGAAATGGCTGCTGAGATTCAATGTCACGAAGTGTAAGAGGATGCACCTGGGGCGTACCAATGGTAAGGAGGCGTATCATATGTCCCAACGGGATGAAGAAACTGCACTAGTTGAGACTGAATGTGAGAAGGACCTAGGTGTGTATGTTGACAATGAGCTGAAGTTCTCGGGCCATTGCGAGAAGAAGGTAAATCAGGCAAATATATTATTGGGTCTTATAAGGTCATTCAGATATCTAGACGGTCCGTCCCTCGTAACGATCTTCAGGAGTGAAGTGCTTCCCCATCTGGTCCCCGTGATATGCTAGGGACTGTCAGTTGGTTGAAAATGTTCAAAGGAGGGCTACCAGACAGGTGCCTGCACTTCAGCACCTCAGCTACCCTGAGAGATTGAAGCACCTGAACTTACCTAGCTTATACTACAGATGGGCAAGGGGGGGACCTAGTTGAGGTGTATAAGCATCTCGGGGGGCACTACTCAGTTGGGTGTCCTTACTTGGAGCTGGCGGACGCTCGCCCTACAAGGGATCACAGCTCAAGATTGAAGAAGCCGCAAGTCGAGAGGGCAAACTTTTTCGGAGTGAGGGTTGTAAACTCTTGGAACAATCTACCAGAGAGTGTTGTGACGGCACCGAGTGTGATCTCTTTCAAGAAAAGACTTGACCAACACTGGAGCGGGTTCAGGTACATTCAGGAGCCTGTGCATGCCCAGTACTTGCCAACAGTGCGTGACAGAGATGTGACCAATCGCCCGGGCGGCTAGCGAGCCGATCTTTTGGTGAAGAAGATAAATGAAAAGGAAAAGTAATCGGAGACGTGACCGATCGCCCAAGTGGCTGACAGGCCGATCAGTGGCGAAGAGGATAAAAGTGAAAGTAAAGCAATGAACTGGGAATGGAGAAATTTACAGCGACACCTGAAAACTCTGTGGGCTTCATCGAGGGTGAAGCGTGCGTGTCCGAATAGTCTCTCGTTTCTTACTTGCAGGCATTTGGAACTTCTCATGATACTTAAATAACAATGAATAGTTTGTTATAAAAATTGTACCTTTGGATTGTTTAATATTTATCTTGACAATGATACAACCAAAAATAGATCCCACAATCACCTTTATTTACAAGTTACTTTACCAAGTATTGCCAGGTAAAATTATGAGTACGAGACCCACGATGGGGTCACTGGCTGACTGTACATGTACTATACAATACTAGTTGATCTTAAATGGTGAGATAGCTTAACATAAGGGCTGTACACTATATCATAGTTATAATTGCTGGTCAGATAAGCCCCAGTCCAAGTAGGCCTCAACCTATACTCTCACTCATTTGGTCAGGGGGCCATTATGACTAAGGCCCATTTAGACTGTGCCTTATTCCTACTGGTTGGGTTAACTTAGGGTGGGACCAATAAGAAATGGGGCTTACAGTACTTAAACAGTTTTTCACGTTACATGATGTACTGTACTTGTCTGTTGTAAAGTTGTAGTAAATATCTGGAGTTCAGTACAAGAAGGGACAATGTCAAGAATGTGTATTATTGAAAGAAAAACAAATTCTGTATGTTGTATTGTGAAAAATCTAATTGGACAAGTGAGTAATTGACAGTTTGTGTTTAATGATCGTGTTAGAAGAAATATGTTGTATATTAAGCAATTCCCATGCAATTTACCCATATCCAGATAGCAATGACTTTGTTGGTGCTTGACAGTGGTCGTAGGGATACACTTCCTCAGTACTGTACAACTATCACAGATACAGTATATTATACATATTGGAGATTTAAAACATTGAAAGACATTATTGATTTCAGCTCAGTGAGTCGGTCATCTTGGAAACTCCAAAAATTGACATTGACCCTCATTGCACCGAGTCCAGACTTGATCCTAAGACCCCAAGTGAGTTGAAACACATGTAGGATATGTTTACAGGCTTGCAATTTCTCTTGTTTCAGTGTAAATGTTATCTCATTTGTCAAGACCATTACATTAGATGCTGTAATGCTGTCTTAATCTAATAAGAAATATATATTAACTCATTGTTAAAGAAGTAATGATGGTACAGTGAAATATATCTGTGTAGGTTTTAAGCTGTCATGTACATTAACAATAAAAGACAAAAAAAATCATAAAACTAACTCTTCTAACATTAACCTTCACCTATTAACACACACTTGACTTTTATGTAGTGCTGAAGTTTACTTAAGGGTTCACAAACACATGTCCTTTGAATTATTGTTTTTATTTTAATTTAATATATATATATATATATATATATATATATATATATATATATATATATATATATATACACATACATACAGTGACCCCTCGTTTAACGAACACCTCGGTTAACGTAATTTCGGTTAACGAACTGCCTTCCATAAGGATCTTCAGTTCGGTTAACGAAAAAAAATTCGGTTAACGAAGTTCTTACGAACCGACCTCAACATGTTTTCGCTTGCACTGACCGGGCAACCAGCTTTAGTATCAGTCCGCCAATGCATTAATTGGTTCTAGGGCTTAAATTCCTTACTATTTTAGTAAATATCAAGAAGTTTATACTATTCAATAATTTTAAAAGTTTAATATTCAATTTTTTAGTCATTTTAACAATTATTGAACATAATTGAAGGTAAAGTGACTAGTTTAAAGCACAGCATCCAGCCTCTTAACACAGCAAACAGGCGTTAGTCTCTCTGTTTTCACTGGAGGTAACATCTTGCTTGAGACTCTCATCAACTAAATGCTTTTTTTCTGTGTTTCCAAGCAAATTATTGGTCATTTTGAAATATATTTTACATATTGACAATATATAATGCAGTACAGTGTTGATTTAAAGAAAATAATCTTGAAATACACCAGAGAACTAAAATTTTATGGGTGAAATGGCACCATGGGGTGACTTCTCTTCCACCCCAATGCCTTCTCTTCTTCCTTCTCCTCCACCCCCATTCTAAATCCCATCATCATCATCATCATCATCCAGGAGCCTTCTACATACACACCTCAAAGTAAGTGAACTTTTCTATCATTTTTGTTGAATTTAGGTTCTGAAAATGGCCGCGAATCGCCAAATGAGTGAATAACATTTGCTGACCAGCAGGTGAGGAGGGGGGAGGGACATTTTCACGTTTGTATATTCCCTTTGTGTTTGCCCTTAGGACAATTATTTCTTTTACCTGCATTTTAAGTATGTATATATATATATGTGTGTATATATATATATATATATATTATATATATATATATATATATATATATATATATATATATATATATATATATATATATATATATATATATATATATATATATATATATATATATATTGTGTACACACACATAAAGAATACATACAAATAAATAATAACGGGAAAATCCTCTCGCAAATAATCAGAAACAAATTTATTAAAACAATTTTAGTCTACCCTCAAGTCCACTTCGTCCTCTGTTCTTGATAAAGCACTTTTACTTAAGTATGATTTTCTAACACTTTTACTCCAATACAAATGAAAAACAAAAATCATTACTCATTACATGCAACAAACAAAGAGTTTTAACGTTTGTGGCAAACTAATAATATATTTTAAATTAATTGTGTGGGTGGACCATGATAGGTACAGTGTGGGGGAGAGACCATGCTGTAACACCTGGAGGTCTCGTGAGGTGAGAGGAAGAAAGAGATCATAGTGTTGGACGGATATATTTTTAGCCCATTCACCATCCCTGCGATGCATTGTAGGGAGACATCTTGTTATTGAAGCATAGGGGGATCATCAGGATCACTGTTGGAAGAGGGTGATGCAGAGTTGGTTGGTGGAGAGGTGCGCAGCCAGGAGGGGCAGCGGTAGTAGCTGGTTCTTTCTTGATAATTTCCCCTTCACTGATGCTATTCAGCTACACAGTGATGCTCTTTATTTTACAGCTACACATGACCATTGTTTTTTTTTTTAGCTGCAGAGAGATACTTTTTGTTATTGCTCAGCTACACGGTGATCCATGTTATTGCTCAGCTACACAGTGATCCATGTTATTGTACAGCTATGCGGTGATCCTTGTATTTATTGTTGCTTGTGTTTGGTGGGTGCAGAGAGGCATGTGTAGACGGCGTAGAGGAGGGCACGGAGGCTGATGAAGGTGAGGATGACAGCCAGTGTGGACACCACCAACACCACCAGCCACACGTCCACGTTGTACAGCTCGTACCTGTAAACACACACAGGTATTTTTCCTTATAACCCAAGTCACGCACAACAATACTAATGGCCCTACCACTTACCTTATGCATTTCTAAGCAACTTTTCCTTTATAAACATCCGTCAGTCATAAAGCTCCCACAACTTTCTGTGGCTGTCAGCTTGGTTAGTTTCGGTTAGGTTTATTGAAGTTAGGATAGGTTAAAATTTTCTTTTTCCTAAGGTTTTTAGTCTGAATAATTTGATTATAATATTCATTTCTGTCACAAATCACTCGTTTTTGCGTGTTTCCCCCACCTGAAAGCCCCGCTTTCCCACGGGTCTCCCTTGAAAGAGAGGGAACACTATTGTTATAAAAGTTGGCATATGAAATTTGTTTCATCCAGGTCGAAAATGTCCAGTGTTTGTTTACTTTAAAGATAGATTTATCGCGCCGTGCTCTGGACCAGTTAGTTCCAATAATGTTTGTGTCTCGTCCCCAAGACACACTTTTAAATAAAGAAACGGCACTAAATTATATACTGTATACTAAATAACTACATATTCAAGAATCACGTAAATAAGGATTCCTTGCAATTTAGTTATGCCATTCCTTCATAAACAAAGCCATCTGAACTTACATGACACTGGCAAAGAGCGGCTCTAACCAATGTATGGTGGCACTAACCAAGGCATGGTGGCAATAGGAGAGCGGAGGTGAAGGGCTCCATGGTGCCTCAGGACGTACTCCACCCAGTAGGTCACCCACTGCCCAGGTGGCACAGGCTGGTCCTTCATCACAGTCTGCCGTCGAGTTACCACCTCCCGCATCCTGTGTGATCACTCGCATGTCATATACTGTGACACACCTATATGTTGTGTACTTTGTGTTGATGTTATTACTTGTGGCTGAGCAATTAAATAACGAATAACGTTAATGACAAATTGTCTTGTGTGGATCATGTAATGCTTCAGTGGTTATTTATTTTAGTTGATGTTTGAACCGCTTATCACCGTACTATTCGTTCGGGCAGTTGGTCTGTCCAGTGTCAGTACAGGAAGAAACCGGTGATGTTTGGTAGGGTCACGCTGGATAACACCCTTCCTAATGTGACCCTACCAAACGTCACCAGTTTGTTCCTGTAATGACAGTGGACAGTAAAGCACTGTTCCATTATCACGCCAATCCCGAGAAAGTAACATAAAGAGGCCACTCTTACTTGGTGTCCTGGATAACTTCAAGAATCTGCTGACGGAGAGTGTCGTAAGTGAGATCCGCCCAGTACACGAAGCGGCCCCAGCCTTCCCTTTGGACCTGGGCAATGTTGTGGTGCTGATCGATATGAACGGGTATGCCCAGGACTGGTACACCATGGTATGTGGCTTCCTGGATACTCAACAACCCCCCATGGGTGATAAACAGTCGCAGGCGATGGTCTCCTACATGTACAGTACATACATAATATCAGTAATAGTAAAGGAGAAAGAATGATGACAGCAGCGTAAGTCTGACGGAACTAGTGTAGGGCTGAGAGAAAGAGATGGCAAACGTGATAAGCGAAAGAGAACGAAGAGGAATAGAAAGAATAAGTTGTGTGGGACGAGGGAGCGTCTGTGTGAAAACTACAGGCCAGAGATGTTGATTATTAACAATAACCAAGATACTGAGAAATATATCTTTAAGAACAGCCTTGATCACTACTGAGAAATGGGCTCTGCATGAAAACAGACAGATGTAGACAATCACAACAATTATATGAAGTAAAGCCCAAACACAATTGTCAAGACTCAGAACTATGGACCAACACCTAGCGTCCATCTGTAAAAAGGCTATCTAGCACAGCTTGAAAATTAACATAATGTAGTTACATTGTTGGAAGGAACAATCTAATTGGGTCCTGACTTGGTAGTGATGAGATGAAAGGTTACATACAATGTTTACTACAAAAATAATGTGGTGACTGACCGAGGATATCCTGCTGAGGGAGCCATTTGGTAAGACGCACGTTGGGTGGTAGGTCTTCCATGGTCCCCTCCCACTTCCACAGTACCCGTTGCTTCAGAGACGCGAACACTTCCACCAGCACCCTCCTGTACCTGCCGTGATGGGTAGTAGGTTACATAAGTCAAATGGAGCAGGACACCAATTTTAGTAACTCACGATGATATGATGCAGATAAAGGGAGGAAACAGTAAGGTGACGATACCAAAATATTAGGGAGCTGTTTAACGCTATTGTCTGCACTGCGACCAGGCACTCGGTAGACGTGATGCTGGTCATCCCATGAAAGACATTATAAATAAGGGGACAATAGTATGTAACATACTCCTCTGGCATAGTTGACGCCTTGACGGTAGACCCAAGACTGAAGAAGATGAAGCCAGCGTTACCGGCCTCAGCAATCCAGTCCTCCAGTTCCTGGTGGTTCAAATTCTTAAGTGGACGAAAGTAACATGAGGTACAACATTCACTTAACTGAGGCGCACTTCAACAGGTTAACATTTGGTTATAGGCAGACAAGAGGTGTGGCATTAGCTATTGGAAGATTTTGATGGCTGACCTGTGGCAGCGGCTGAGCTGGTTTACAGTGGATCCCGCCAGCGTGGACCACCGTGGCAGTATAAGGTCTGATCGGTATCTCCAGGGTCTCCACGCTGTAGGTAAACAACGCAACCTGGCTCAGTTGAGTTATAAACGACATTATCAGCGTTGGCAGTGTTTGAACTCCTCATGCTCATTATTTTATTTTGTTATCTACAAAATATAATACCAACTGTACTGTATGTGTCTATTACCAAATTTAAGAATGTTAAAAACTGTCGGTATTTCCCGTGATATTGGAACCTTCCCAGTTATAAATCCGGTGTTTCCTCAGCAAGGCTCCTCTAACTTTTCAGTCACATATAAAGGTTGTCAGAGACTGAACAATCACCGTGAGATTCAATTTATAGGTGTCAGCAGAGAGGAGCTTGTATCTATCTGGAGAGGGATATATACACGAGACAGGAAGATGTTTCTGATACAGTATTAAGTAGGGTAAGTTCAGTAGCCTAATGGTTACTTCTTTTTCCATTTGCATATAGAGTGTACATTTTGATAATAAATTATCGTTAAAAATGGAATCAAGATTTGTCACAAACAAATAGAAGTAGGTGAGATATATGATATATGTATTTAGGAGCAAGGTGGCATCAGCACCAAGCAACCGCTGATGGCTGGCAGCTCCCCCGTAAGTTCCCAAAAGGTTTCAACCTCCAGAACGTGACCAGTGTTCATTTAGGCTATAGTGTACTGTAGATCACGCCTACAATACTGTCACAATACACCCGCACTACAATTCTCCCCAAGTTGTGAGTGATTGTATTAACAAAATATATTGACACTTCAAGGATTTTGTCGAGTGTGTTGGGATACAGCGGAGGAAACTCCGACGTTTGAGAAAGTGGGTAAAAAAACGAGTCTTAGTTAGAGTAACTTCAAAACTAGTGGACTGATTTTAACAGTAGGTTGTTATGGGAAACACCTGATGAAGGTAGATCAGGGTGCAGTCGATCATCTAAAGCTAAATACCTCGAATTCAGGTGAACTGGTTTTATGAAGATTTACAGATGGATTAACTGGTGACCCAAAATATTTTCTTAATCCCACATCGAAAAATATAGTTTAGACATGAAGATGACAGCTTAAGTTTGGATCAGACACTTGAGGGCAACAAAGTATGGACATAAAGTAACTTTTGGTTGACAAACAAGATACGAATCACTACACCTGTTTAAGATGACGAGACTCCCATTGACCCTCATCCGGTAGAAGGTGGAAATATCCTCCGGGCACAGCTTCCTCTCCTGGCACTCTGCCACCATCCTGGGAAACACAGTGTGGCACTTACTGTTACCTTAAACACAGTGTGGCACTTACTATTACCTTAAACACAGTGTGGAACTTACTGTTACCTTAAACACAGTGTGGCACTTACTATTACCTTAAACACAGTGTGGAACTTACTGTTACCTTAAACACAGTGTGGCACTTACTGTTACCTTAAACACAGTGTGGCACTTACTATTACCTTAAACACAGTGTGGAACTTACTGTTACCTTAAACACAGTGTGGCACTTACTATTACCTTAAACACAGTGTGGCACTTACTGTTAACTTAAACACAGTGTGGCACTTACTGTTAACTTAAACACAGTGTGGCACTTACTGTTACTTTAATCACAGTGTGGCACTTACTGTTAACTTAAACACAGTGTGGCACTTACTGTTACCTTAATCACAGTGTGGCACTTACTGTTACTTTAAACACAGTGTGGCACTTACTGTTACTTTAATCACAGTGTGGCACTTACTGTTACTTTAAACACAGTGTGGCACTTACTGTTTCTTTAAACATTATTCTATGGCAAGATGATAAATTTACTCTAATGTTATGGAATAAAGTTGAAGGACAAGATTCTTTTGATATATAAGATTACCGAGTTCCATGAACAAAAATAAATGTGAAATAACTTAGGTATTCTTATCAGCCCTAAACCCGGAGGTCAGTTTCAACACACTTGCCGATTTTGCCTCTTTCAATGCAAGCTTAAAGAATATTTATGGAATTTATATTTTATATATATATATATATATAACATGATTTGATGCTAAATTTAAATAAAGCTAGTGGTCATTGACAACTTTATAGCCATTTTGAAATGGCTGAAATATGGCTGCCATATTGAAATTTCAGTTGAGCTCCCAGGCCTACGCGTACCAAAAGCTGGGATCATGTAGAGTCAAATTAGGTATATTTTACTTTTACTTTTTTCCTCTTCTCCACTGATCGGCTCGTTAGCCGCTTGGGCGGTCATGTCTCTGTTACGCACTGTTGGGAAGATTGAGACAATTATTCTTTCAAAGACAAGAAAACATACTAAAGGCGACTCACATTTTAAAAATTACATAGTAGGCATAGTAGATGCCGGCGGTGTCATGAAGAGTATTGAACATTCTGCCAGTGAAGGTGAGAGGATATTTCAAGTCGAACATTAAGTTGGGCACCATGGATGAGAAGTGCGTGCTGTGTGCCATGTCCGCGTAAGCTGGCGCCAGACTAAGTGAATACATGAATATGTATGGAACCTGTGAAATAAGTCAGTTGATCGTAAGGTTTGTCAGTAACAAGAAAAATCTTCATTTGCCTGAAAAACTTAAATTATACGAGCTGCAGACTGTCACTCCATCCACTATTTTTCCATTAGAAATTTAATCAAGTTATCTGTGAATGTGACTGAATGATGTGAAGGTACATCAAGTAAAAATAGTTTCCCGGAAACGTACGATATTGCTTTGTGAAAAGAAATATAAGACAATTGGTTTTGGAAGGTCAAGCGATGTGTGACAGCTGTGTTGTGTATTAGTTATCTTGTCATTAAACTACAGATCCATAACTGTTATAATCAACATGAAGAACATAGTTATTATATGACGAACTTTGGTCAGCAGATCTTTGTTCACTCCACACTTTGACTCAATGCTGGTCAACATTTTCTTGGTGTCAAAGACTGACACCAGCCAGTTTTTGTTACTAATATGTTATGTGTAAAATATTCTTGTATTTGTCAGCGTTACTTTAGAGCTCCTTGGTGTACATTTCCAGCTTTTACATGAGGTTCCCTGGTGTATAGCTGCAGCTGACACAGAGGTTCCCTGGGTGTGTACAATAGCTGCAGCTGACACCTGAAGTTCTCTGGTATAGAGCTCCAGCTGGTACCTGAAGCGCCCTGGTGTTAGTGAGTTATTTTTTTTATAACTGAGACACGTTTGAGTGCAACATTCACAACAGTTAGTACACCCAAGAGTCACTTTAAAAGAACCTTACCTTGAACTTGTCAACAAGTGAGTAAAAACATTCGGTCCCGAATCCGCTCAGCATGACCAAGTCAAATTTTTCTTCCTTAACACTCTGCATGCCTTCGTAAGCCAAAGCGTCGGTGCAGAACTTGGCTAACAGGGGCATCATGGCCTGGACTATCTCAATCTTATTTGAAGTAAACAAGTTAGGAAGATATTTGTATACGTCCATACCTGGCACAAACACCTCACGGATGTTTGTCCTGTTTTGTGAGGCTTCGATTCCCGTTACAAACGTCACCTGTGAATAATGGTGGTTACTGATAGTTAAAAATGTTTTAATGCATCAAAAAGAATCTAAAACTTGTGACATAGTGAAGACTGACACAGGGGTAAGAGAACCTACCTGCCTCCGTCACCTCTTAAGAAACTAACTCACTTCTCTCTTTAGTGTTGTACCATTGGGGAGAGAAGGTTTTCACGAAAGAAACAAGGACAAAGGCAACTTTTGCTTCATTTAAAGAAAGTTATCTTAATATAATTCACTTGCATCACTCATATTGAAATATCGTGCAGGGAAAAAAGACACAACCACGGACGAGAACACGACTAATAACGCGTTTCCACAATATCCTGACAACCAATTCAGGGAAATAATTAATGAACTCTGATAGACAGAGTTGTTGCATTACAACATGTTGTGGAAGGGCTCTGCCTGTATGGTCTCCCTCTGTCCGCGTGGCACTGTACTGCCCTGTATTGTACTAGTACTGTACTGTACTAATATTGTACTGTACAAGTACTGTACTTTACTGTACTCGTACTGTATTGTACTGTACTAGTACTGCAATGTACTGTACTTTACTATAATCGTACTGTACTTTACTAGAATTGCACTGTACTAGTATTGTACTATACTAGTATTGTACGGTACTAGTAATGTACTGTACTAGTAATGTACTGTACTAGTATTGTACAGTACTGTACTCGTATTGTAATGTACTGTACTAGTACAGTATTGTACTGTATTAGTTTTGTACTGTACTGAATTGTACTGTATTCGTATTGTACTGTACTCCATCCTCCCCCAATAGCCACACCTTCGCCGCCATTTTATTACCTTAAAATTAAATATCCTAATATATAAGTAGCTACCCTAGCTGTGTTGAGTTAGTTGAGCCGCCGATCTATGCGGCATTCAGTGACTGTTGCCTCATAGTCAATATCTGCAACTGTTGTCGGCCGATGCCTCTCGTTCCCCTGAGGCAGAGTAAAGCAGACCTAAGGAGAGAGAAGGACAATCGACATCTCATCCAGGCTGTAACAACTTCTGGGCTGCTGCTTCTGTTCGGATAGTTCCTCCGCGAGTCTGGCGTAGAAGCATCTTGCACTTGGTCCCCATCCTACCAAAGGTTGTGAACACCAGAAGAGTGAAGCTGCCTTGATCAACGTTCTGAATTCTCTCCCCATATGCCCTGATCTTGTCGTTCTCGTTCCTCCTGTGTGCAGCATCGAGAGCTAAGTTACGGTGACATGCGGCCATGGGATAAAAAATCCTGATGTCGAAGAAGGCTCGTTGTCCTCGCGTCCAGAATCCTCGAGCACTGACGTCAGCACGGGCTTCGTTGGATGTGTTTGCAGTCCTATGTTGGAAATTCTGACCGTCCAATGGAAGGAGGGTCGGGTCTACTCTGACATCACGACAGATTTCCTTCAACATATTTGCCCCTTACTTCGTCATGCCTCATGCATATGAAGCCCTCTTTCTTGCACACCATGGCGTGATCGACGTCATAGGAAGAGCCACACACGCATTGGGAGGGCAAACCTTCTACTGGCCTACCGCACCTTAGAGCAATGGCATCTGTAAATTCTTGTTTATTGAGACTGAAATCATTTGCCCTTATCGGTAACGTAGTTAACCAGTTGGAAGCGCCCACCTCCTGCGCTATAGCTACTTTACTAGTACCAGTACTGTACTGTAATAGTACTGTACTGCACTAGTACTGTACTAGTACTGTACTGTACTAGTATTGTACTAAAACTGCACTGTATTACACTGCACTGCACCGTATTACACTGCACTGTACTAGTTTGTACTGTACTAATACTGCACTGTACTGTACTAGTACTGTACTGTACTAGTAGTGTACTATACTGTAATCTGCGGTACTGAACTGTACTAGTACTGTACCAGTACTGTACCAGTACTGTACTGTACTAGTGGCATGACTCCTTATGCCTACTTGGTAGAGGCTCCTGTGTGTTCTCTCGCTAACACAAACTCTTGTTAGTACTTCAACAATCACAGACTTCTTGGTGAACATTTATTACATGTTGGAGTTTGATACTCAACTCTTCTGTGTCATAAGTCATAACTGTATACACTGTTGGAATGGCCATTATGTAGCAGTGTATCGCCAACGTGTTTTAGTTATAATTAACTAAAAATGAGGAACAGCCAACTTTTCAGTTTTCTCTGTCAGCATCCCTAAACCCTTCGTGAAATTCTCTATCTTTTACCTCACTTTGAAAAATGAAATTTCGCTAACTCTCCCTAGTATGGACCTTGTGTATAGACGGCAATAGACGATCACAAGACACCAGACATACGTACAGTACAAGAAAGAGTTCAGCCATATTTGGAGTTAGACAGTTAAGTGTGCACGAGGAAGGAATTTTACATACCCTCTGATCTTACTGAAGAAGAACGAGAAAAAACATGCAAAGTTATAGACATAAAAAGACAGAAAATGAGACAGAGAGAAAAAAAATACACACACACACCAGCTGGAGGTAGACTGACCGTGTGGTTCTTGGTCGCCAGCACCTCGGCGATAGCCATGAAGAAATTCTTGTGGCTACGGGGACCTGTGGGCGCCAGGAAGAGTATGTTGGCAGGGTCCACCTCCTGCACCACCATCACCAACACCACCATCGCCACCAGTGCTGCCACACTCCACCGCATCTGATGACGTGAAGACTTTAACTGATGTGATCAAACTATTGATCGGTGTCAGAAACGTATGTTGGTGTTAGTGGTACCTGTACAGCCGTAACACGCGTATCTCACTATTGTCATGGGTTCAAGTTCTGTTTGGCCTGGACACAAGTAGAAAGGGTGTTATCCAGTGTAACCCTATAAAGCATCACCGATTTCCTCCCGTGCTAACACTGGACACCAACCGCCCGAATGGCTTAGTAAAATAATAAAAGGAGGTGTATGTTTGTCTTTTCCAGCCAGAGCTCGAAAACGGAAGCAGTTAGAGATCTGAAATTGTACAACACAAAATTATTACATAGGTTCCAAGGTTGTGTATCTTGATATTATTACTGACCACGGACCCCGAGTGGTCCAGGCAAGAGCCAAGAATCTTCCCCGACTGAGGCATCGCCACGACGATTGTGGGGGGTGATTATTCTTGTCAGAGAGGACAAGTTAGTGGTGACAGTCAAGATTAGGTTAAGGTGGTTACCCATGTCAGGGAGGGCAGTTTTTCCGGCTAGCTGGGATATCTTTATACCTAACCTGTGCGAAGCCGGGTAATTTTGCTAGTAAATACAATTAAATAAAAAACATTAAAGGTGGAACAAATACATAAGATGCATTGATATGGAATAAGTATCAGAGATATTAGGTATACCATAGTTGCACCAGACAACAGTTGTACCAAATAGTAGTTGTACTGTGGAGTATTTGGATGTTTGTTTGGGTTCACACTCAGGATGGGATGGAGAAAGGAAACTCACAATGTGCTCTCTGTATACATGTTGTATTGGATGTACAATGCAGCTTGGTGCTGGGAAGGCAGCATGGTTACAAGCGTGATGTAGAGAGAGCTGGTTGGTGAGGGTGCTCAGAGGAGGACAGCTTGTGAGTCGCCATGCTCGTCGGCGGGAGCGAAATCCACTACAGTACCATACAATAGTTATACCATAATAGTTGTACCAGATACGATAGTTGTAAATGTGTATGAAAACTTGGTAGGGGTCTCATTAATCCACTGTGAACCGCTCCACACCTTTGAGTTAAGTGAGTAGCAATCAGACGAAACTAATTCTTATTCACCGCTGCTTTATGCTTGTATTTACGAACAGAACGTGCAGGGGGGCCAGCCTCCCACTGTTTATGTTTTGTTTATCTGTTACACCAACAGCTAATGAGGATAATATGGCAATGAAGAATGAAGGTTGTAACAAAGTAACTAAGAAGAGACCGACTGTCAGAAAATAAGAACAAAGGAATGATGGAACTGCAGCGGGCCTATTGGCCCATACTAAGCAGCCACGTTTACACACAATCCCTAATATATCCGTCCAAGCTACCCAGCGTGTTTGAGTTTATGATGAAGTTCGGTAACTTGGTCCATTCATCCACTACTCTATTTCCAAACTAGTGTTTTCCTATCTCACACCTAAATCTAAATTTGTCTAATTTAAAACTATTGCAACGAGTTCGTTCCTGGTTAGATAGTTTGAGTACCTTTGTTATATCTCCTTTGTTTCGCCATGATTTCCATTTATACACTCGATCATATCGCCCCTCACTCTACGTCTCTCGAGTGAGTGCAAATTAAGATGCTTTAATCTGTCTCTATACTCAAGGTTCCTTATGCCCGAGATTAGTCTTATCATCCTCCTCTGAGTGCTTTCTAGAGATTCTATATCCCTTCTGTAACGATCGCCGGTCAGGACGCAACGTTAAAATGGGACTCAGATCATTAAGTTGAGCTGCCGACAGAGGCAATACATGGCCTAGAGATAAAAAACACCATATAATAATAGCATTAACAATAGCTGGTGCACCATAGACTTACCTGTGTTTGTTGGTAATGGTGAGCTTCACGTGTAGAGAGAGATATAGCACAAGTTGTCTACCTGATGTTCTGCTCTCTACTACCCATGAGTACCATCACATTGTTTTACCTTTTTAACTTTATCTTATCTTGAAACTTGACAGTTTATCGTCGTATTCGTTTGGGTGCACACCCTCAAACTTTTCTCTCTTTTCCTCTCTTAGCCCCTTTTTTTACTCATTCTAATCTTCCACGTTCAGTTTCCATCACCTTCTATAGGTTAGTACACATGTAGGGAGGAAGGAGGGAGTTTCTTTTATCTAGCATTCAGATTCAGATGTGCCCCTCACGCAGTGCAAGGGCTAGTTTATTAGGCAATCCATTTAGTTTACGAGTCATGCTGACAATTATCAAGGAGTCACGAGATTATTTTTTTTTATCTCTCTCTGAAGGCCACCTAAGTTTTAGGACACCAGAATTTGTCATATCATGGAGGATGACTCAACATAGTTTACTTTCAGTGTGAATTACAAAAACTATAGTGTATGTACGCACTACAATATTATTCCTCTGTACAAATTGTTATTTTCCACTTTCCTAATTGTGAATACATATCGTATACTGTATATTTTTTCCTGCTACAACAAATAGTAATTGATAGGACATTTGGTATCTACAGTTTCAACTGTTATTGCAATAATTTATGTATCTAAAAGTTTTTGCCATTATAATATATTCTTGGGATCCTTGGTGAAGAGGAACATGCCTCTCAGTTCTTCTTCAATGGTAAAGTCTTGAGGGTATAAATGGAGGCCATGAAGGGGTAGGTAGTGCTCCAGGTCTTTCTGTGCTGCTGTAGGGGTGAGAGGCACAACCAGCTGGTCATGGAGAGCCTGGAGGGACGGAGACAGCTGACGACCGCCCTGGACACGACCCATCATGTAGGTGGTACCGTCAAGGTTGGTTAGCAGGATACGTGCCCCATCCGCTGCCGCTTTCACTACCTCAGCTGGTGGCTCCTGAAGGGAGGAAGCATAATTATGTTACCTGGAGGGAGGGGGGACACTAACTAAACCTGGGAAATTAAACATTGACCTACACCAAAGAAACACAGGCCTATATAACATAAAGGGAGCAATGACCAACATAAAGGGTACATTAATCAACGTGAAAGAAATATTAACCAGCAGGGAGGCCTTAACCAACATGAGTGAAACACTGACTAACATGAAAGAATCATTGACTAACAGTAATGTAACATTTGACCAACAGGTAGCGAGCATTCACCTGCATGAAGGGGTTAGCAGCAAGACAGACATAGCGAAGTTCAGGGAGGGAGGTGAGGGCGGCTGCAAGTGGCATCCAACACTGGTCTCTGAGGCGACAACCAGCTAAGGACAACACGCGCAGTCTACCTCCCTTCGTCGCCCCTTCCAGAATTGCTTCACCACCACGACTCAGGGGATTGAGGTCGAGGAGGAGCGCTTGCAGATGCAGTGCTTGAGCCAATGCCTCCCCAAGCTGTCTTGCACCCTTCTCTCCTGTTTCCAATAATACGGTATCAAGAACATGTCATTGACTACACACCGCCTATTAGTAATGGTGAGTGTAAACGTGGAAACAAGACAAGAAATTATTTAGAAAGACTGAAATTAAAACTCCTAATTGCTCACAAACTAGGCCTGGGTCTAGTGGGACAGTGATGTTCGTGAACTTTTATATAAGGGGACAAGATCAACAGGTGTTTTATAAAATTAAAATCTCTAAGTATTCTGGACGGCAATGTTTACTGTAACTTGTATACGCGTCCAACGCTAAACTTGTAAATTTAATGTACTGTACTGTATTGTATTTCCCCTAAAAAGTTTATGTGATCTACTTTCACTTTTTCTTGTTACATTCAGACAGACAGACAGACAGATAGATATTCGGCAAAGTCGTCACTCAAGTTTACAATTTATTGATTCAGCATCTAGTATACAGTAAATAAACAATGAAGGTACTAGGATAAGTCATGTTTCATAGTTATTTATAAAGCAGCATCTCTAAAAACTAATTATTATGAATAATTGCAAGGCCTCGAGTAGTCTAGTATTATCTGTTATTATATTATAGATATCTTGCCACTGCATTTAAGTAATATTAACACGCAATATCTTCTCAGAAAGCGATGACATGGATTGGGCTGTGGGACGTACGCTACCTATGTTATTGTGCTGAAGGTGGAGGGAGGCGAGGCGTGTAGACTTGAGAAGGGCGATGAGACTGGGCACAGAGGCACAGGTCAACTGGTTATGGCTCAGGTCAAGGTAAGTCAGTCCCTGGTGACCTTGGAGGCCACCCACAAGTACATCTGCTCGTGCATCGTCCACACAACTCTCGTACACTCTGTAGGTTATAACTGTATCTGGTCTACCTTCTCTATGTGTGTAGTTCTTTCTTTGCATAACATGGTCTAAGTTGACCTTGAGTTGTGGCACCAATATTGTGCAATCAAGGTTACTGACGCGGTTGTCAGGCCAAAATATGTCGCGCAAAATAGGTATAATTGCTAAATGGTGATAATTTCTGTATAATTTCTTCCGAAAGTTTAAATTGGTCTGTATACAAGATGGTACAGTATATAGATAATCATGACACGAACTTTAAATGAATATTTTAATTATAAAGTATCGATAAAATCACTCGTAAAGGAACGAAATGAAAAGTTTGTCGAGTTCAGCTATACTAACTTGAGATGTGTGATCCTGGGGTTGGTAGCAACTGCATTTGAGAGAACGGCCGCCTCTTGTACAGACACACCCAGGTCGGCCCAGCACAGTTCCCCTCCTTCTTCCACCGTTTGGCACCGCACGCTCAAATCCTGTGTAAAATTAGTTCTTAGTTCCCACCATCAGTGTCAAATATTGCTGAATGCTTACCATCTATAAAAACGCTGCTCCATCTTTGTGCATATGGAGAGGAATGGAAAATGTTTAGCCGCCGATGTAAGGTTTAGTGCCCGTTACCTATGGTCACCACCCATGTTAAGATAATACTTTAAGTTCGTCATTTATTTCAACTTGAGATGTAATATGATCTTCGTTTATGACATGGTAGTGTTTAATGTTCACCAGTTTCAAGTTAATGTGGAGAGGTTGGCAGAGAAGGGGGACTGTTCTGGATGCTAATGAATGAGGCGTGCACCTGGTGGCTAGAAAGGGGACGAACTCACTTGGATGTTGGAAAGGGAGAAGGTACTCACCTTGATGTGAGGGAGCGCTGTAATGACGTCTGCTAAGTTCAGGTGGTCGAAGGTGCCTCGCTCCACACCGGGACCATCACAACTGTAGTAGGGGACAAGTCTTAGTTTTCTATCTTTCATAGATATAAAGTCTTTTTATTCCTGCTTTTAATTGATTGAAAGGTTCTATTCTACGCTGTTTTTGCTAAAGCCTAACCTAGAAAGCCAGAGGGCGGGTTGCTTTCTATCTCTCCGTGAGTGACATACCTGCCCGGGGCACGTGCGAGGGAAGGAAGATGAAGAGCTTGGATATATGGGGCACACAACTGGAGGAGCGGCCCAAGCGTCCGCCAGCCACGTTTGGTTTCGTGAGTGGTAGTGATGGCCCTCGCCAGGTTGGCCTCTAAGTAAGCCCGCTTCCAGCTACCATTGAACCGTATTATCTGTCACGTGAGATCACTATCAAGAGCAATGGAAGGATTCTACATAGGCCACTGAACCACTGGCCTCCTTCCCTCGTCATAATGAGGCCATTAGGTAAATTATAATATGGTATAGATAGGTACTTGGTCTCTGGTATATGGTTTTGATAGTTGTGTAAAGACATCAAATTAATACAAGCAAAATCAGGAAACTGAACATGTAGCGGCGCATGAGGAAATTCAGTATAATACTCACAGTAACGCGGGGAAGAGGGTGGGCGTGGCTGACAGTCTCTGTAGTCGTAATCAGACTGCTACCGTCCATGTCACCTCCCCCGATTCCTGACTTTGTCTGCGGTGTAACAACTCTCTCCCGCGCCGCCTTCTGATGCACGCCCTTACGGCGACCTTTCGCTGGGTTAGGTTATATTAGATCTGTGTAATCATCATCTAATCCGAGGGAAAACTTTCCAACTAGTGCATTCTTCAGTTCCTAACCCATGAATCTATTCACTAGATATCTCAGAAATGTGACAACGCTACAGCACACATGCAAGCAGTGTGACCTTCCCTTCCCAAACTATGAACCCATTTGCAGCTGGGTGAAGTGGGAGTGTCTCAGGATCGAACCACTTACCAGTTACTTCTAAGGTTTATAACACAAATTAAATTAGCAAATTTTTTCAGTTAATGTTAAAAATGTTTCAGGTAACGCTCCAATATTTTTAACACAAGCAATCAAAGGTATTTGGCGTCAGTAGGTGAGTGTTACTGACCTGTGAATGCTAGGTGAGGTGGGGGATAGTGGGCCTGGATTCTGCGCCGCCAGTAGAGGTCGTCGAGAGGTAACATCAGTGCCACCGGTAATGGAAGGTCAACACTGAGTACCGCACACACTTCACCCAAGTCACGTCGCGTCAGCCTCCCTAACTGCGTGTTCTCTGCCTTGCACGACAATATAGATCCGGTTTGTTGTTAGAGTTAAGTTGCAAGAGAAAAGGAAGTCGTATACACCTACGCTTATCTATTCTAACCTGACCTGACCTAACGCTAAATCTAACTCAACCTATCTAACCTAATCTATCATAACTCAGCTAACCTAATCTATCCTAACTAATCTAATCTAACTAAACTAACTTAGTGTTGAAAGATAGTGGTAGTGTTTTAAGAGGGTGGTACTGTTGGAAGGTGTTGGAAGATGTTGGTAGTGTTGGAAGATGTTGGTAGTGTTGGAAGATGTTGGTAGTGTTGGAAGATGGTGCTGGCGGTGATGAGAGGGAGAATGATATTTAAAATGTGACATATTAGTGAAACTTAAGGATAAATAGTAACCATTTTTATCAATATAACTTACCGTCAATATTCTCCGTTATTACCCTCAAACACAACACTCTCAGCTCCTCTACCATGTTGAAATTCTCTTTGCCAATACAGTTCTTCTAGTTGATTGTACAAGGCGCTTGATTTTCATCTGAATTAAACGATAATCTGTCAGACTGTCACATGAAAGGCTTAGAAATATATATAACGATTTGTTTTATACCAGCGAGGTCTTCCTCATGTTGCTATGACAACCGGTGTGTTGCAAGGTCTCACCATTATGATTTGATCCAAAACGACGTTAACGTTATAATTATTATTGTTGCGGTTCAGTAGCTAAGAGGCCGGACACTCAAACGTATTTACAATATTGTATCTCCCAGTTAACTCTCTAAGTAGATCCTAAATGTTGTAAGTGCAGGATCTTTGGAGCTCCATTAACTGAATAAACCGCTACATAGCGGTATATTTCCAGATTGCATAAACAGTGTATTCCTTCCACGCTATGATAATCCTCATTAACGGTGTTTTCAATGTAAAATAATATTAAAATATATAATTTAATCAGATGAAAATTATTTTATAAACAGCAGCTGTGTTTCTTTGTGTTTTACTTTTACTTTTATCCTCTTCACCACTGATCGGCTCGCTAGCCGCCCGGGTGATCGGTCACGTCTCTGTTACTCACTGTTGGCAAGTACTGGGCATGCACCGGCTCCTGAATGTACCTGAACCTGCTCCAGTGTTGGTCAAGTCTTCTCTTGAAAGAGCTCACACTCGGTGCCGTCACAACACTCTCTGGTAGATTGTTCCAAGAGTTTACAACTCTCACTCCGAAAAAGTTTGCCCTCAGTTTTCTGGACTTGCGGCTTCTTCAATCTTGAGCTGTGACCCCTTGTGGGGCCAGCGTCCGCCAGCTCCAAGTAAGGACACTCAACTGAGTAGGTAAAATGTATGTTATCGGCAGGGTTGCCAGATGGCCGTTTCCACGGCCAAATTTATCTAATTAGGCCGTAAAAAAAAAAAAAAAAAAACTTCGCCTGGCCGTGAAAAAATGGATGGTCACGGCCAAAATTTTTGGCCGTATTTTGGCCGAATTTTGTAACTACAACCTCACCTAATCAGTGACCTCACCTTTTCACATGTTTACGTGACCTATTGAGCTGACTGATCTTTCTAGTTACTACCTTAGTTGTTAGTTCTCATATTTGAATTGTTCAGGCTGAACGTGTCCAGCATATGGGTTAAGCTTGTGGGGTAATGGATGTTTGTTTGGTTCACACTCAGGATGGAATGGAGAAAGGAAACTCACGATGTGCTCTCATGTATACATGTTGTATTGGATGTACAATGCAGCTTCGTGCTGGGAAGGCAGCATGGTTACAAGAGTGATGTAGAGAGAGCTGGTTGGTGAGGGTGCTCAGAGGAGGACCAGCCTGTGGGTCGCCATGCTCGCCGGCGGGAGCGAGGACCACCAGGCAGGCGGAGGAGGTGTTGCTGGCTGGTTGGTGTAGGTAGAAAAGAGACAGGTCACCACGAGGTCAGGTCTTAAATAGCGGGGGTTGGCATGGCTTAGTAGTTGACCCCCGCTCCGTGGTGTAAGGCGGCGCTGGTTGACCTAGACCACGAGGCATACACTGGGGAATTGGTGGGGTCGGCTACTCAGCGACAAACAGCGTTTGTAGGGGAGAAATCCACTACAATACTCCCCCTTCCCTCCAGGCGGTGTAGGAGACTTGTTGTCTCAAGAGTTGCTTAGCACATGTGAGGCAGAACGGGCGGTGCATGCCTCATGTGAGACAACGGCGATGGCGTGGATGAGCCTGTCGCTGGATATAACTGTCTATATACACACTATCTGTGGGAGAAGAGAGGGAGAAAAAGGGTGTGTGGAGGCGATGAATGTTGTGCTTCCCTCATGGCAGGTACAGAGTCGTCAGATGCGCCTGCTGGGGTGTGTGGGCCTGGCTCAGGAGCAGGGGCTGCGTCAGCAGAAGCGGATGAGGGCTCGTGACAGCAGCTGGGTGCAGGACATTAGCAGGGAGTACCCGAGGGAGAAAAGAGGGGTGTGTGGGTCCGCACTCAGGAACAGAGGCCGCATCAGGGGCGGCAGGGGTTACTGCTGGGCCGGGGTCGGCGTCTGAGGTAGGACGGGTGTGCTGGGGTCGGTAGGACGTGGTGCTTGGGGCAGGAAGAGGAGCTGGTGTCTGCTTAGAGTAGCAGAGCTGCTCTAGGGTGTCTAACCTGCGGTGTAGAGACAGTGGTTGTAGAGCCGATGAGAGCTGCTTCTGTGTGGATAAGCCAGTCTTCCATGCTGCTTGAAGACTGGGAGCGTGATCAGTTTCTCCTCCATCCTGTGTGAGTGCAAATCTCCAATACCTAGAGCAATTGTGTTAAGCAGGAACGCCCCGCCATAAAACCATGTTGGCAATCCTTTACAAGGTTGTTTCGTAGTAGATGTTCCATCGCGGCATCTCTGATAATACTCTCAAGTACTTTACATGTTATGCTGTACTGTATATAAAAAGTATAGCAAGTACAGTAGAGTCTGCATTAATGATAGTACTGTACTCATCTGACAGCTTCTATCTCTCCTTTTCCCTTCCTTACAGGTAGACTAGTCATTTATTGTGTGTAGCTATACCTGTACAGTAGACCCTTGCCATTCACAAGGGATAAGTTCCAAGAAATGGCACGAATTGGCAAAACCGCGAATAGCCACTTTTTAAATACAGTGGTCCCTCGGTTAACGAGCACAATTCGTTCTAGAAGGTTGCTCGTTAACCGAAACCATTGTTTCAATGGGTTTTTGGGTAATTGGTTCCAGCTCATCGAAAATTGCCTAAAGTCAAGAAAAAAGGTAGTAAAGTACATTTACTTTGAGGTGTGTATGTAGAAGGCTCCTGGATGATGATGATGTGAATTTGAAGTGGCAGGTGGAGGAGGAGAAGAGGAGGAAGAAGTGGAGGTGGAGGAGAAGCATTTTACTGCTTCTTGGAAGGATGAGTCACCTTCCATGAAAATGTCAGGAACCTCTGGACTGACAGATTCTCCAGCAGGAACATCCTCTCTCTTTCTTGAAGTGGAAGGCTGAGGGCTTGCATCTTGTTCCTGCTGCCTTTTAGTGAAGAAACTGTCAATTTTTGTCTGTGGGGCATCTCTCCTCCTCATCATTAACTGATGTTTGAAGGAGACCATTGTGTCCTCAACATTACACAAAGCTAGTTATGATTTTTCCACATCTGGGTGCCTTGAAGCCAGTTTCCTGAACTTCTCCCAGTGGTCAACAACATCTTTCAACTCTGAAGTTGACATATGGTCATCACTTTCCTTTTCCTCCTCACCACTGTCAGCCTCTAACATCTCATCCAGTTGCTGCAAGTCTTCAGGAGTAAGTTCCTGCTCATGAGACATCACAAGCTCTTCTACATCATCATCCTCCACTTCAAGGCCCAATGACTGACCAATGGACACAATTTCCTGGTCCAACTCTGCTTCTTCCTGAAATCCCTCAGAATCATGTGTTACAGTCATAACCACATTGGTACATTGGTACTTGTCTCTTTCAACACAAACAAAAGCTTCATCAAGAATAATAGTTGCTTATCCAAAAATTTAACTTGATAATAACAATTTCACTAATCACAATTTACCTTGCGGCCACCACAACCAGAGATGACCATGAAGGGGGTTAGGATGTTGATGGCCTGTGTAAGACCCACTTCATTCTTAATAGTCTTGTCTGGGGCTATTTTGAAGCCCATAAAATTACAGCTTGTTCAATGGGTATATATAAAATCCAGGGATTTATTAAGTGGATGTATGATCATAATTCTTCCCAAAAGAAAGGTAATTTTTCCTTGTACAGTATAGTACAGTAGTACTGGTTTGTAAGGAATAATGGACTGTGAAATTGCTGGTTGCTTTGAAATTTAATATTATTAGTACAGTATACAGTAGTAAGTGTTATTGGAAAATATGACCTTATCTGAGACAAAATAAAATTGATTATGATTTTTTACAGCACACATATTTTTTATTGGCTCACTATTTCTAAAATGTTTGATTGGTGTGTTCTTTAACTAATAGTGCTTTTGGTATAATGATTTTATTTTCCGTTAGCTATTTCTTTATGCATACATACACTATTTACATATTTACAACAAGACTGCCTCGGCTACTTACTCTATATGTAGATATGTTTGATAGACAACCATTATAATAGACAAAAACAGTTGGAATTTTACTATACTCATATCTTTATTACTGACAAAGAGCTCGTAGTTTACGTTGCAGATACAGCACTGTATCAGTCTTCAAAACTCACCAGGGAGTATTTTAACACCTTAAGTAATGTTCTCAAAATCGTGCACTTTCAGTAAAATGCATTAGTAGTTACAGTACTTATTAAGACTTAATCATGCCAGCATTGCACTATATGTGTCCAGGAAACTTTGAAAAAGTAATTTAAAATTACTGGTCTGCTTTGAAAACAAAGAAACTGCTTAACAATGTTTCCCAATGAAAACACTCCACCTAAAAATCTGATGACATTATATTTCAATACAGTACGTATAATATGTCTTCAAAAGGAGTCACTGAAATTATTATCTGTTATCAAGAGTCAAGTCAAGATTCAGCTTTATCATGAATGAAATTTGTTTACCAACAACCTATGATATGATGGGAACTTGCATTATGATACTGTACTTCCATTTGGCTCATCAAATTCATGGAACTACCATATACATATACTCTGTCCTCTCTTTGAGTGTGCAACATAAAGCATAATAAGTGGCACTCCCATTGATAGTGATGAATCAACCAATGGCGCCCAAATCAGATTCTTGTTTCAACAAGAAGCCTGACTCTTTTTCTACCCAATCTACCCAATACGGGGTTTATTCGTCATCCTTCTAACAGAAGCATGACAAATAAACCCCGTATTGGGTAGAAAAAGAATCGGGCTTCCTGTTGAAACAAGAATCTAATTTCCGTGCCATTGGTTGATTCGTCACTATCAATGGGAGCACCTCACTGATTACCATCTGATGGTATCAGTAGTTTATACCATACAAAGGGTGAACACTGCTTAGCTATATAATACAGCTCATTGCTAAGGAAATATATACTTACAGTAACCTTTATAAAGACTGGCACCAGTTGTTTAATATGTTAGAGCTGAATTATTGTGTGTGAACAACTGTACAGCTACTGGTACCAGTACACATTTTCTAACAAACTCTGCCTTTTTCCACCACAGTTTAAACTGGCCTTTTGCTTGTGGGTAACTGAATTGTGCAGTTAGCAGTCAAAATTTGGATAGCTAAGTATAACTCAGTGTGAATCATAAAGCTAAGCTAAGCTAAGCATTACTGTATTCTAATCTGATTCTTATCATATGTACTGTGCATCTGTTATATATCTAAACAACAAATGTTTCATAAAATAAATTTATACCACTAAATATCTAATATAAATAATAATTATTAATCCAATGGCTATAATGGTACAGAGGATATTTTATAGTTTTGTAGAACAATGCATATTCTTAAATCCATTCATTAAAGTTTCTGTTTAGCAGTACCTTATTTAAATATGTCCATTATGCGAGTCACACATCAAATAATTCTTAAAGAACTACAGTACAGTACTAAGGGTAACGAGTACGGTATGGTAAAGCAAGGTGCGGGTACGAGACATACCCTAAAATACACACAACATACATACCGGTGTAATACTGTACTCCATATTTCTTTAATCATATTTACAATTCACCGTTATGCAGACTCTCTTCCATATTTTTTTCTTTAAATTTTTATTTTTCTCCGTCCGCCATACAGTATCTATACTTCTTACCAGTATTTATTATCACATTAAGGTTTCTGTTTATCAATTTCATACTTTCTGTTTCATCATATTACAGAATCCACTTTTTTTTCTTCAACAAAGTAAAGATCATCCCTCTCTTTATCAACTTGGAAGATTCCTCCTCTAGTTACCCTTGTGGCTTCTACATTATCTGTTTATACCAGACCAATTAATAATTGAAGGTACACAATGCTACTCCTGTCTGCCATGTCATCCATCAATATAATTACAGTATGTTTAATCATTCAGTAAATTTAGATATAATTTTGATATGAAAGGAAATTTGTCTTGCTGCTTAAAATTATGAGTGTCAATTTAGTTTCATAATCAGAATTTTCCTTATTTCTTTGCCTCATTCATGGTCAATGAGTTCATGTGATGTAAATTTATTAACATACACACCAACCATTGTACTCAGGTGTCGTACAAATCTTTGAGGATTGACTCTAGACTCTTGGGCCCTTAAGATTAATACAGTACAGTACAGTACAGTCTCTCCTCGACTTATGACAACCCGGACATACGACAGCCATGGTCGTATAAAATATTTTTCACATTACGTATTTTCGAGTCCCAACGTCAGTGATCGCGATGTGAACTGACAATTTTTTTTTTTTATTCCCTTTAAAATGGCTGGCAAGCGTAAAAGTGAGAGTTCTCGTGGTGCTGAGAAGAAAAAGAGACACCCATTTTAGAATTTCTATGTATTATTTTTGCCTTTTCGACTTACGACCTGGTCATCGGGACTATATTTGAACATATGAAGAATGCCATTGCAGGCAGAATGTGGGTGCTCATTGATCTGGTTTGGTTCCAGTAGAATATAATTTACAAGGTACTCTTTAAGTCTTCAGCTGGTTATATAATTTTTTTTGTGGTCCAGGCTAGGAGGTGTCTTCAAATGCAAGTGACTGCCACAATGGGCTGTCCGATTCCGGTGTGAATGAATACCGCACCTACAGTATATGTCAATAATCGCTAACTAGTACAATACTGTACCGAGTCACCTTGGGTCAGTGTCATGGCCAGTATCATGAGATGTAGTTCCCCACTAACTTAGCCTCCCAAATTAACCTAACCTACTCTAGTTTATCCTAAAGTTCTGTTGGTCTTAATTATATTTTCTTTTGATGAGCTTTGTCATCTTCCTTTCTATTGATTTCCAAAGTCTTCATTTTTGTTGGCTCTTTACATTAATTTTATTATAGCCGTTATTTAGATTTTCCTCCTTCATCAAAAATTTTGCTTCACTCTTCTCGCATAAATCTAATTAAACACTCAAAATTTTTATCTTCCTCTTCTGGTATTCATTAGACATTCTCAGTAAACGTGTGTGTTAATTTTGTTTTTAAACTTTTTTTATTTTCACTTCTTTTAATGCCTATTTTGTTATTTCTTAGGTACACTAACCACAAAAGTTCTCGAACAGCTGGGAACGACGGGTTTCATAATAAGCACTATGGCTTGTATCATCTTAAATGGTTGGTATGATTGGTTGCAAAGTGACTCAATATATCGTCATAATATATGTTGCTCGTCTTTACAGTACGTATTTACAGGTAAAAAGAAGTACAGTAATTTAATTTGTAATAAAACTTCCTTCGAGTTATGTTCAGATTTCTCGTTCATTTTGTCATATTGTATGACCCTTAGAGCGTTCGAAAAAATTTTGTGGCGAGTGTATATCATTTGTACATGAAAATATACAGTACAGTATACTGTGTTATCTTTTTTCTATTTTAATAAAATACAGTACTGACTTATCATCCCTTAATAATAGTTTTCATCAATATCTTTGAGTTTTATGTAAAGGCAGCAGGAAAGGATCATCCCAAACACCTGAATCAGACAGATGCCACAGCCAACTGCACCGAGGATCAGTAAATGACGACCCAGCTCGTCCTCAAACTGATGAATACAACCCTGCAATAAAGAACAAGTATTCAGTGACTGCTCGTTCAGTCTATTGCAATAGTAAGATACAGTATAGTGTATTATATAATAAAATTTTGGAATCACTGTACAGTAGTGTGATGAATAACAAGAATTAAAAATATTTTACCCTGTATCAAATTTTACGATTTCTATCTTAGAAAGTTTGCTTTACCTTCTATCTTTCTCCCTTGCACTTTGACAAAATTAAAAAAAAATTACCATTTTTCATCACAGCTCAACTTAGGTCATATGGAAGAACTGGTACAACAGAAGACAAGAACAGCTGGGAAAGCAATGTGATCAGCCTTAGTTTGCATAAATATTTAGGAATTTCAGACTTCACCAATAAGATTCTCATATATGCTGTACATTGGTCCCTCGGTTAACGAGCACAATCCGTTCTAGAAAGTTGCTCGTTAACCGAAAAACTCATTAACCGAAACCATTGTTTCAATGGGTTTTTGGGTAATTGGTTCCAGCTCACCGAAAATTGCCTAAGTTCAACAAAAAAGGTAGAAAAGTACACTTACTTTGAGGTGTGTATGTAGAAGGCTCCTGGATGATGATGATGCTGATGTGAATTTGAAGTGGGAGGTGCAGGAGGAGAAGGGAGAAGAGAAGGAAGTGAAGGTGGAGGAGAAGCATTTTACTGCTTCTTGGAAGGATGAGTCACCTTCCATGAAAATGTCAGGAACCTCTGGACTGACAGATTCTCCACCATGAACATCCTCTCTCCTTCTTGAAGTGGAAGGCTGAGGACTAGCATCTTGTTCCCACTGCCTTTTACTGAAGAAAGTGTCAATTTTTGCCTGTGGGGCATCTCTCCTCCTCATCATTAACTCATGTTTAAAGAAGGAGACCATTGTGTCCTCAACATGACACAAAGTTAGTTCAGATTTTTCCACATCTGGGTGCCTTGAAGCCAGTTTCCTAAACTTCTCCCAGTGGTGAATAACATCTTTTAACTCTGAAGTTGACATATGGTCATCACTTTCCTTTTCCTCCTCACCATTGTCAGCCTCTAACATCTCATCCAGTTGCTGCAAGTCTTCAGGAGTAACTTCCTCCTCATGAGACATCACAAACTCTTCGACATCATCCTCCTCCACTTCAAGGCCTAATGACTGACCAATGGACACAATCTCCTGGTGCAACTCTGTGTCATTCTGAAATCCCTCAAAATCATGGACTACTGATGGCCACAGTGCTTTCCATGAAGAATTGAGTGATCTAGTGGAGACTTCTTGCCATGATGACACAATCAATTTTACAGCCTCCAGGATGTTGAATTGTGTCTTCCAGAACTGCTTCAGTGTTAGTTCAGGATCAGTGGAAGTTGCCTGATGACACCTCCTAAACATTTTCTTCATGTACAACTTCTTGAAGTTGCTGATCACATTCTGGTCCATTGGCTGTATGATTGATGTAGTGTTGGGAGGCAAAAACAACACTTTCACAAAGTCAAATTGAGACTCCAAAGTTCTGGCAAGTTGAGGGTCATGCCCAGGGGCATTATCCGTGAGAAGAGCCTTTAAAGGGAGTTTATTGGTGGTTAGGTAGCTCTTCACAGAAGGGCAAAACACCTCAACAGCCCATTCATTAAAGAGCTGTCTTGTCACCCATGCCTTACGGTTGGACTTCCAATAAACTCCAAGCTTTCCTCTTACCACTTTTTGTTGTTTGAACACCCTGGGGTTCTCAGTGGTAGACAAGCATAGGCTTCAGTCGGAAATCCCCTGAAGCATTGGCACCAAGCAATTGAGTGAGACGGTCTTTCATGGGTTCATGCTCAGGTAAAGAGGCTTCATCTCTGGTGATGAATGTTCTTTTGGGCATCTTTTTCCAAAACAGCCCAGTTTCGTCTACATTGAACACTTGCTGTGGAAGATAATTTTCTTCTTCCATCAGTTCTTTAAACTCCACTAAAAACTTTGCTGCCCCTTCCTTATCAGCACTAGCAGCCTCATCTTGCCTAATAGCACTGAAAATGTCACTTCTTTTCTTAAATTTTTCGAACCAGCCTTTGCTGGCCCTAAAATCTTCAAATTCTGTGCCTGAAGAACCAGGGTGATCTGTCTTTAAATGTTCGTAAATCTCCCTGGCTCTTTCGCAAATAAATTCAGTAGAAACTGAATCACCTTTCATCTGTTTTTCCCTAATCCAGATGAGAAGTAAACTCTCTGTTTCTGCAATTAGGGATCTACTTTTAAACACTCTGGTAGATTTGTCTCACTTTCACTTCTTTAAATTTTTCTATCTGTGCAAGAATTGTCGACACAGTTGATGTCGACATGCCATATTCTTTGCATAGAGCATTTGTTCTAATGCCTTCTTCATGTTTTTTTATAATTTCCTGCTTAATTTGGATTGAAATCGCTTTTCTTGATCTCTTAGGCCCCATGCTGGATTCAAACAATCTCAACACGTGATATATTAAGTTTAAACTTGCTGTAAATAAAGAATATTTTCTTTAAAATAACACCGCACTGCGCTATATATTGTCAATATGTAAAATAAATTTCAAAATGACCAATAATTTGCTTGGAAACACAGAAAAAAAGCGTTTAGTTGAAGAGAGTCTCAAGCAAGATGTTACCTCCAATGAAAAGACACAGATTGACGCCTGTTTGGTGTGTTGACACGCTATTTGGAGCGCATAAAACTAGTTTCCTTTACTTCAATTATGTTCAATAATTGTTAAAATGACTAAAAAATTTAATATTAAACTTTTAAAATTATTGAATAGTATAAACTTCTTGATATTTACTAAAATAGTAAGGAATTTAAGCCCTAGAACCGATTACTGTAGGCGGACTAATACTACAGTTGGTGGACCGCCAAATGCAAGCGAAAACATGTTGAGGTCGGCTCGTAAGAAACTCGTTAATCGAGGGATTGCTCGTTAACCGAAGTTAAGAATCTTATGGAAGGTAACTCGTTAACCGAAATCTCGTTAACAAAGGCGCTCGTTAACCAAGGGACCACTGTACTGTATAGCCATCTGACTACAGTGGGAGAGTGGTAAAGATAACATCTGAATCAACCACACCAATATAGGCTTAACATACCACTAGTTGACACTGACTTCATTGATGGCACACAACTGAGCCTTTTAGCAAGAAATACTTTGTGATTTTCCCTCATATACTGTACAGTACTGTACTTCAAACCCTCTCAACAGTTAATGCATCAAAAGCTCTGTTTTTATATTCTATTTATTAGATTTTCCCTCCACACTCTCTTATCAGGTGGCAGATTTTGGAGTACCTTCACATTAATATTGTACTATTTGTAATACAGTACTGTACTGTAATTTGTTAGATATCACTGACTTTATCATTGTACTAAATGTTGAAAAATCCTGATTCACTAATGCTTCAAGTAATGAATATTGTCAATATTAATATTGTACTATATCTTGAAAGCTCATCAAATCACATTGAAGCTAAATGTTGTGTGTTGAGGAACTTTTCATTTTTTTTTACTCCACACTAGAAGTTTCTGATACTAACATTGTACCAGATATTGGAGGGATGGTCCCTCACACCACAGTAGGGTGAAGGTGTCTTGCAGCAGGAGTCTGGAACACTGTTGTTAAGGTCTGGGTTGTCATGAAGCCACAGGCTGTCTCGCCACTGGCTAAAGGTAAGAGCACCACAGCAGTGATACTGTAAAAAAATGGTTAAGGTGGGTTTACAATGGAAAAATAAAATTAATACCATAATTCCAAACTACTATTGTACAACATATAAATTTTACTAATTTAAAAAAGGTTAATTTTCAATTCCTTTCTTTTTTCCTTTAAAAAAAAGGCCACTATGTTACTATATTTATTCAACGATTATTTATACTTTTATCCTCTTCGCCAGTGAATGGCTCGTCAGCCACTTGGGCGGTTGGGCATATCTCTGCTACGCACTGTTGACAAATACTGTATTGGACATGCACTGGCTCCTGAATATATATGAACCCGCTCCAGTGTTGGTCAAGTCTGGCCTTGAAAGAGCTCACACTCTGTGCTGTCACAACACTCTGGCAGATTGTTCCAAGAGTTCACAACTCTCACTCCAAAAAAGTTTGCACTCCCAGTTTTCTGGACTTGTGGCTTCTTGAACCTTGAGCTGTGACCCCTAGGTTTGTGTAAATATTTTTGTTATAACAAGAACACATGCCTTTATGAACATTGTTCTCAATATGAAATGATCTTGTCACTGTAGTTCATAGCTAAGTGTACTGTACAGTACTGTATTTATATAATAAAAAGGTAATTCATATCAGATGTAGAGATAAAAAGATGAAGGTATCAGATAAAAGGCTTTAAAATGCTTCTCTATAATGAAATTTGTTTTTAATTTTGTGGGTGATGTTTAGAGTAAGTTTGGAGTTTTGGCACAGGTGAGCACAGTGAAAACATAAAAGCCACTAAACTGCTCAAGAATACTGTACATACAATATAAGAAACTGTTGGGATATAAAAAAAATTATCAAGTTTGTTAAAAATACAGTATTTGTAGTTTCACTGAAGTGCTGACTGTGAGCAGTAGCTAACTGGTTGATCAATAATCACACTAGAAGCTGCATTGCTAACTGAGCTGCAAGTTTTGAAGAAATACCTAAAATGGGTATTGGTAGTACAGCAGTAATGTGCTTGCCTCTCGCCACTGTGGCTATAGGTTCAATTCCCCCGGGCCAAATATGAAAAGTGCGTTATCTAATGTGACCCTACCAATCATCATAGGTTTTCTAAAGTACTCTGGTTTCTTCCTGTACTAACACTAGACAGTGAATATTGTAGTGAGGAACAGATTGACTGCCCAAATGGCTAGTAAAGTGATAAGTGGTGGAAATGACAAATAAAAAAAAATAGAAATAGTCTCGAAGTTAACAAAAAGTCTGTACTTTATACGGTAAAAAATTAAGGCGTGAGAGGGCCCACGTCTTAAATTTTGACCAAAATCATTCATATACCCACTAAACATTGTTCATTTCCAGCCAATTTATAAGGCACGCCTCGGGCAGCTGGGGGCTGGTAGGGACCTCCAGGGCATAGCAACAGGTGGCCATTAGTTGCCACCCAGCCTCTGTGGCGAGTGGTGTGCTCACACTGGTTCCTCCCTGACCGGAACTTTCTTTCCTTTGAGTGTGGCTATTTTTGGGCTCTGTACATGCTATGGCTTGTTGCCAGAGCTTATCCAGTGGCACTATTGCTGCCATTGTAGCCCTTCATAAGGGAGAGAAGTCTAACAAAGAACTCTCTGCCATAACCGGAGTACCGCTGAGGTGTGTTCAGAGGTATGTGAAGTGTTTTGTTGATGGGGGTGGCGTTGAAGACCCCGTCCGAGGCAAGCACACTGGATGCTCACGCCTTACCTCGTCACGCACTCTCATGGTTACTGGTATTAGATGCCAAGTGGATGCTAATCCAAGGATTTCTGCACGTCAGCTGAAGGAACAGAATCCACGTTTGCTGGGGAATGTCTCTGAACGGACTGTACTCCAGCTGCTCTATGAAGACCTAAAATTTAAGAAGGTTATGCCCCGGAAGAAACCCCTTGTAATCCTACTCCAACATAAGAAAAGACTTGCCTACTGTAAGAAATATCAAGAGTGGGATATTGAAAAATGAAAAACAGTCAGATGAAGCAACATTTGATGTTACTAGTAATAGGAAGGGAAAAGTTTACAGGCAACTGGGCAGTGATCCTTGTGACCCAAAATTCATCCAGGCAACAGTGAAGTTCCCAGATTCTCTCATGGTGTGGGATTCTTTTAGTTTCTACAGTGCTGGTAAACTTGTAATACTACCACGTAATCAAACTGTGAACAAAGAGTACTATTGAGAGTTACTGCTAGATCATTTACCTGACTCCTTTGACAAGTGTCATGCCCAGGTGTTTATGCAAGACGGAGCACCCTGCCATATGGCAAAACTAGTGACTGGGTGGCTTGATTTCTGTGGAATTGATTACATAAAGGATTGGCCAAGCAATTCCCCTGACCACAATCCTATTGAGAACCTCTGGGGATTGATGAAGCACAAGATACGGGAAGAGGATACCTGAAGCATCCCCAAATTGAAGGCCACCATCTGTGAGGTGTGGGACAGTTTGGACACAGGCTGGCTGCAGCATCTGGCTCTATCAGTTCCCAAGAGACTTCAAGCCTGTATCAAAGCAAAAGGATGCCCAACCAAGTACTGAGTGGGAGGTGAGTACAATTTTTTTAATGGTCGTTCATATTTAATCTTGTTGTACTGCATGGCGGGGAAGGCACGCCGTAAATTTTGACAGCTACTGTATACCTCTGTACCTAAATCTGACTTTGTGTTTACATTTCTGAATACACTTTTACTTTACTTTTATCCTCTTTGCCACTGATCAGGTCGTTAGCTGGCTCTTATTCTTGCTTGAGCAAAGTATGTAAAAGATGTTTGTATCTGTCCATATCTTTGGCCTTACCTCCATCTGCATCTGGTCTATGGCCTCAGTGACCTCTGGATTGATCATATAGTTGTTGTTGAAGGTGGTAGTGAAGGTGTGTGAGAGCTCAGCCATAATTTGTTCCTCATACACATAAGCCAGTACACCCGCCACAGCCTCCACCAGGAACACCAGCAGCAATAGGAACGTGTACTGCAAGGAGAAAAAGCACTGCGTTATTGTTGTGGAAGGGGATGTATTATATTACTGTAGTACATGATCATGTAGCTACATCTGATGTTCTTAATCAGATGTTGTTTGAACACTGCAGGCAATGAAAGTACTATCCTTTATCATAAATTATATACTGTATACTGTATGTATAAACTGTATATACAGTATGTGTCAAACTTGAGATAATTGCAAAACAAAATTAATAATTTGTACTTTTCCCTTGAAAAATCAATCTGGTCTGCAAGTAGAGATGATGATGTACAGTACATGATCAAACTACAATCTATAAATTTAAAAAAATCATTATATATTAACCTTACCTGTTGCATTCCATTTAGATACCAATATATAGTACAGTAGATTGGTTATGTTAAGTTAGTAAAAGATGTCTCAAATAAAATGTATACAGTAGCAATAAAATTGAAAAGCTAATCCTCTTGTAAAAATGTAAGTTGCATTTTAACCCATTAGAGGACAGCTTGTACACTTAAGTATTTTATTCTGGCTGATGCCAGATAATTGTATTCATCCGAGAGAAACCCCTACCTGCTAAAGGGCAATGATCCCTATACAACACATAATCAAATTTATTTATGCCTTCAGAAAGATAATTAACAAGTCTGTCTAAATACAAGCATACAGATTACCTTAGGATTACTGGCTCTTCATTCAGCAACAGTCAGATTCATTCTTCACAAAGTATACAGTACAGTGCTGTATTTAATTCAGGAGTTTACCGCTATGAGTGATCCATTAAATTTGTGATTCATTAAATTTGGCTGAGGTATTATACAGTATTTCAAAGTAACAAACAGATTCACAAAAGTTTTTCTTAGTACTGTACTCAGATAAGTGTGCTAACTTTGTACAGCCTCCTCAAACCAGGATTTTTTTTTTAAATTATCTAGAATGGCAACATTACCACTTAACTTTTACACTACAGGCATCATTTAGTGAACATATTTTGGTATACCAAGTACAGTACTTGTACTGTACAGTAATTTAGTTGAGTATTTAACAAAGAATTTAATAAGGCATACAGGTAAACCTTAATAAGCGATGGGTATCACCGACAAAAATAAAAATCCTAAACTTCTAAAATCAATAGAAAACAATTAAACAACACTCACCACATCATGAAGACTAAGCCTGGTCATCCCCTTTGAGGCTAGGGGAATTGTAGGTGGAACAGAGATGTCACTCTGACTCCCACACAGCCTCTGGGGAGTCTTATGCCACTTCACAAAGTCAAGCTTCACCTCAGAGACATGGTTGTCTTGGATGCCTTGGCCTTCCCGGACATTTTCAAAAACAGAGCAAAAGCACTTGTCACAAAAACAGAGAGAACGATGATAGCAAAAACAATGATAACGGCCAACATTGCTCGCATCATTCACAAAAGAAGAGGTGAAGCACTTTACATTCACAAAAACACAGAAATATCACTTGACAGTCACCATAACACAGTTCAATCTAGATGTTAGTGCTGTCCTTTCACTATAAGAAAAAAAAATTATAAGTACAATGTACAGTAGCTAAAACAACAACTGTATCTGTGCAGGTTGGGGTTGATATACTCCGAAATTTTACGTGTGACTAATGACAGCCCTCCTATACCAAAATTTTTCATCTATGGTCTCGTATTGTTTCCCACAAAGTATGCACAGATAGTTGTTTTAGCTTCTGTACATACAGCCAACGACACTGAACGATAATCGTGGAGCTAAACGCTGGCAGGGAGATGCGATGGACAAAGTACCAAGCACAGGACTGTAGAGAGCAGGTTGGCGGCGTGCGGCTAGATATTAGCAGGGCTGACAAGAGATGCATGGTGCATAGAGTTTAATATTGTTTCCTTATAAAATGTCACTGACGATGTAGAAAAATATAATCTGCATTGCTGGAATCCTTGCAAGACAGAGATTAACCCGAGTACTGTACTGTATATACAACCCATAGTTTCCACAAGAAATAAATTTTCCAACTAATGGATATCATTAAAGCTATTTTTTTTTTATCATATATAGCGAGATGGTCTTAATTCATGACCATCGTTAAAGTGGAATATCGCTGAACGAGAAATCGTTTATTAAGGTTTACCTGTATACAATAACCAGAAACACAATACTGTATAGAATTTACAATACTTAGTAGCCATAATTTTTTCATCATTCATGGCATACAAATAATTTTCATCATATTATTTTTCATTAGTAATGACAAATTTTCCAACTACAGTTTTAATGGATGCAACTCACCACGAGCAGGTAACAGCGGTCCTCCTTTAGGATGGCACAACACGCAAGAAGAGAGGCAAAAATGACAATTATCCCAGCCAGCAGTAAAAGATAAGCAGTTGATGCATAAGTGGTGGTGGTGAGTAATACTACATATTGGTGCTTCTCGGCCAGTGTCCAAATGGCCACTCCTAGTACTGCACACCCACCAAGCTGTAGGGAAGAGGTAGATCAGGAGAACTGTCTTCATCTATATTACATGTTTTACAAGATCATGAAAGATAATGATTAGTAGTTAATAGGTTGGACCTAAAAGTATATTTATTGAAAATTAATGCAGTTTCTTACGACTAAAATTATGACATTTGGGGCATAATAAAAGGCTGTGAGAGCAAAAGGCATTGATAACATGACTTGTTATGTAATTCATAGTCTGATTAGGTTACTTGATTTATTACTAGCGAATTGAATTTAACGACAAAACCGTTTATGATAACAGTGAACTAAAAGGAGAGATAAAGGAAATATGAATGGCAAAGAAAGTATACAAGAGACCTGTAACTCCTAATTACAGTATCCTGAAATTTGTTGTTACTGTACAAAGTACTGTACAGGGTAGTAGTATAATAAATATTTTATAGTCTGATAACAGATCACAAGTTTTTCGTCATTTATAATCTAAGAAAAAATTACAATAGCTACTCTATTGTGCATTTTAATGAAATGTGAGGGGTCACCTGAAGATTTGCTCCCCCTCAGTTTAACCTACCTGAAGTTTAACCATCTCAAGTTTGTTCAGTTGATTAACTGCCTTTCAATGCTAGTTTTGCTATACAGTACTATGCACAACAATACAAAAGAATGCACAATTAATTTATTCAATTGTATTTTGCAACCATATTGTTATTCCGAGGCATAATTTGGTTATATAATGTTTGTAAACTCGGTTTTTTTTTAGTATTTTCTGTCCCAGGCAGCAGTTATTTCAGTAAGCTGGGGGAGATTTTCTTGTATATGGTGGTGTATGACATGGAAGAATTTTCTAGAATGTATTGCGTCATTTTTGTTATGATTTACTTCCTATTGTAAGCCTCGATCAGAATAGAACGTACTAGAAATTGTTGTGGGCATTATAAGGTGAAAAGACTATGGAATTGTACACTGATAGTGTGCTGACTATATATTCAAAGAGAGAAGTCCAGCTGTGGAGACATTACCCTGTCAACAGTGTTGTAAACAATTAGTGTTTATTAAAGAAGACTACAGTACAAAAGTGTTTCTGTGACCTGGTGGAAATCTACCTGCCTGTTGGTTGTCTGAACACTGATACCGATCGTCGGGAAATTACCGGAGACTGGCGGGAAGCCAGTAGTAATTTGACAACACTTGTGATATATCTTCTGCATCTGTACACACGGCCTGGCTACTGGTAACCAGCGGTAAAAGAAGGGTCATAACAAACTTATTGTGCATACTGTATTACTAAACAATACCCAACGAAGTGTACAGTATCTGTATTATCTAATAGACTTAGTGCATTGTTTTATGTTTTTGTCAAAAACGTAAAAGAAGGCACAGTAAGTTATTAAACAGTAATACAGTATCATTGGATATTCGTAAAAGTATAAGTTCGATTAGGTTAGGTTAGATTAATTTAATTCTATTGCTTAAAAAATAGTCATCCAGATGGGAATAGTCCATGTAGGATGTAATGTGCAAGTACCTCCTGTACTACCATAAATTGAGCGGGAAAAGGATCATCAAATTGGTAACTTCACAATAACTCAACTGTCAGGTAGAGCTTGAAAACACTTGTTGGTAGAATCACTTGAGACAGGTAATGAGCCTGATTGTATTCTGCTGGGTTCACTCTGTCTTTAAAATGCATTGCCAACCTCAGGCAGTGGTAGCTCTCTCCTCACCACATCACTGCTATGGGGGGGGGGGGGATCATCTGAAGAATATACCCCCCACTGTCCGTCTAGAGATTATCCACCCTAACCCACTTATACCAGAAGAATTTCGCCCTCATTGTCCACCAGAATATTCTCCACCCCATCCTGCGCCACCAAAAAAGTGATGACCACTAGTAATCATGAACTTACAACATACCACAGTTAGAACCTCAGCAGTGGTGTCTTGTGTAATTAAATCCTTTTAAACCTGTACATACTCCATTACCACAGCAAAACAAACATTGGTGAAATAAGACTTCTTGTTTCTCTATACTGTATTACATTGGTTTTACCCTTTAAAACTGCCTAAATTACCTGGAAGCTTTTCTTTAGTTTAACAGTAATTTTTTGAGCTGCGAAAGAACTGAAGTACTGAACTTAACAATTAGTGCATAATGACAGTGACTAGGCTGCCTGTGTCGGCATTGATATGCAAACGTTGATCGTATTTCGCCTGGAGTGCGCCAGGCAAATGATTTGCAGTGGTCTCCTGTGCGACAGATGCTCTCTTACATTTTCATTCTTTATTAAGCGAGGCCAATCTCACAACTTGTTCTACATTATGTTGTATAGCATCACTGGGAAATTAAAAGTTTTTAACCTTTTCCATACTGTATGTACTTTAATTAACATTTATAATCTAAGCACTTACAGAGTGAGGCCCTGGGGGTACAGTATGGGGGTGTTTTAGGCCATGATATTATACAGTATACTTCTGTTACAACTTGTCTGTGAATTCCTCTTAAGATTAATATTGTTTTACCGAGGCATAAATTTGTATTATAATCTTGTAAACTAGGTGTTTTGATTGTTTTCTGTCCCATTCAGTAGTTATTTTGGGTAAATTTACGTTTTACTTTTACCTTTATCCTCTTCGCCACTGATTGGCTTGTTAGCCGCTTGGGCGATCGGTCACGTCTCTGATTACTTTTCCTTTTTATTTATCTTCTTCGCCAAAAGATCGGCTCGCTAGCCGCCCGGGTGATCGGTCACGTCTCTGTCACGCACTGTTGGCAAGTACTGGGCATGCACCGGCTCCTGAATGTACCTGAACCCGCTCCAGTGTTGGTCAAGTCTTTTCTTGAAAGAGCTCATACTCGGTGCCGTCACAACACTCTCTGGCAGATTGTTCCAAGAGTTTACAACCCTCACTCCGAAAAAGTTTGCCCTCACAGTTTTCTGGACTTGCGGCTTCTTCAATCTTGAGCTGTGATCCCTTGTAGGTCGAGCGTCCGCCAGCTCCAAGTAAGGACACTCAACTGAGTAGTGCCCCCTGAGATGCTTATACACCCGTCTGTAGTATAAGCTAGGCAAGTTCAGGTGCTCCAATCTCTCAGGGTAGCTGAGGTGCCGAAGTGCAGGCACCAGTCTGGTGGTCATCCTTTGAACATTTTCAACTAACTGACAGTCCCTAGCATATCTCGGGGACCAGATGGGGTGACAGTACTCTAGATGGGGAAACACTTCACTCCTGAAGATCGTTACGAGGGACGGACTGTCTAGATATCTGAACGACCTTCTTATAAGACCCAATAATTTATTTGCCTGATTTACCTTCTTCTCGCAATGGCCCGAGAACTTCAGCTCATTGTCAACATACACACCTAGGTCCTTCTCACATTCAGTCTCAACTAGTGCAGTTTCTTCATCCCGTTGGGACATATGATACGCCTCCTTACCGTTGGTACGCCCCAGGTGCATCCTCTTACACTTCGTGACATTGAATCTCAGCAGCCATTTCTTCGACCATTCCTGGAGCCCACAGAGGTCCTTCTGTAGCTTTTCACAGTCCGCTCGGTTCTTAATTTCCCTGTTCTTGTACAACAGTTCTACAACACCTACAATATCTGGTTGGTGTACTCTTAGTAGTGTTTCAAACTCCTCTCTCTTTTATCAAGGAACGTGTCACACCATAACCACCACTTGCTCCAACTTGACACCAAGAGAAGAAACTGCTTCACGAAGTTACTCAACCTCAGTGAGCACCGTTTCAGAACCAGTTTCCCATCCGACTATGAGACCGAGGTATAGAGGCAAGTGTGCCTGCCTGGTAAGCTGAGAGTCTCTTCTGTGGCTGACGGTGTTCCTCTTCTCCAGGGGTGTGGTCGACGAATTGTATTAAGGACTACTGCTGGTGGTTTGATGGTAGTGGACTACGGCGTTAATCCCTGGTTCCTAGACTTGCTACCTGAGCTGCCATTTCTATCAGGTTTTTGTGTTGTATATGGTATGTGTATTTAATGTATAATGTAAGAATAATTGGGTAATATTCTGGTGCGTTTTGGCAAATGCATAGTTGTCACTTTTGTTTTGATAATTGCTTATTTTGTTTTACATGTGTTATTCAATGTACCTAATTAACTAACTTAATCAACGCGTAATATAAATGTTATTAAATTACTTAGTTTGCATGTACAGTAATCTTCTTATCCCTTTCATAATTTAAATTTGCCTGTCACAGGACAGTGATTCTTGTGTGTGTGTTCCTTACTTGTTGCATCCACGCATTTCAACCCCTAGATTATTCACTGTATTTTTACTTGTCAACTTTGCCTTTCCTCAATGTTGTGGGTAGTAAGGAGGGACATCACTATTATCCTACACCCTAACACCTGCCTCTATCACCAACTACTAACACCTGGTGAGAATGGAGAGGAACAGTGTGTGTAGGGGGAGAAGGGTGGAGAGGAACAGTATGTGTGTGTGTGGGGGGGTGGAGGAGAGGAACAGTGTGCGTGGGGGGAGAAGTGGGGAGGAGGTTTACTGGGTGAGTGATGAGGGCGGGTGCATATTATATAGGGAAAGGGAAGAGGGGTACACAGATGGAAGGGTAAGAAGATAAGAGGGAGGTGAAAGGGAGAGATAGATGGGAGAGGTGAGAGAGGACAAATGAGAAGAAGGGGGAGAGAGAGGTGAGAGGGGGGGGGGAGTCAGCTGCAGGGGAAGGCGTCGGCTTTTAACAGCGAGTGGCAGTGTTTGTGTGAAGACAACGCAAGAGTTGGGTCTCAAACCACACTGAACTCAACTTAGAGGTCACATAAAGATTAGCCCCCACAAGGTGCTTATTTCACCTGATAATTAAACACCTTAACGCTACCTGGGGGTTAGATTAGAATATGATAAGGTAAGTTAGTGCTAAGTTAGGTTATTATATAACAGGAGAGGTTAACGTTAGGTTGTGTTACGATAGGTTAGCGTTAGGGTGTTTAATCATCAGGTGAAATATGTTGGTGCATCTAATCTTCAGGTGATCCACAATTTCTCGTGAGTTAGGTTAGACTCTTAATTTGACTATTCATGAATAATATGTTACATTTGTATCTAAAATATTAATCTTATTTACATTACAATTTGAATTTAAAGAAAATTATACTGAAATTATTGATGACGTCAGTATCATAAAAACACCTATATTATCTTACACACACGTGAACACGGACAGAAATACACACCCAAATCTATATGTAGTTATTTACAGATAGTTATAGACAGACATACACAAACAAGGAGGGCGCGACAAACAGATGGTCTTGTAATAGAGAGGTAGATGGCGGGTGAGTGTGCCTGGTAAGTATGATAATGAGTAAGTTTGTGGCGGGTAAGTAGGTGATGGGTGAGTGACTGGTGGGGAGGTGGGTGTCAGATGATTGTGACAGGTGAGTAAGTGGGTGACCGGGATGTTGATGCTGCATCTCTTAATGTTTATTTGGCTTACACCGCCAGGTGTCAACACACTAGGGCTACGGTGAGGTTAACATCAGTCGCCAAAACTCAACCAGAAACGCGCATGTATGTGTGTGTGTGGGGGGAGGGGGTGGGGTGAAGGAAGTGAATACTCGAGAGTAACTTACCAGGAAGATAAAGTTGAAGATGAACAGCACATATTTGAGAAAGTTGATGCTACAGCAGCCACGGTCCCTCGGCGGCTTCCTGTACGATGTGTCTGGCCCTGTAGTAGAAGAAACTCATCATAGTCGGGGGTTGGGTTGGATCGGGTTAGGATAGATTAAGTTTATGGTGTCCATACCTGTACACAATAGTCCGGATGAGGACGTACGTGACTTAAAAAAGTTGAAAGACCATTTTCTTGTTTTCAAGGTAAGCCCTGCTGCCATATGGCATCACAAAAATTATGGCCAAGTCCCAGGTTGTTGATCTGACTTTGCTCCATTTACACACAATTGCAGGGTCTCAATTGTTTCTCGAACTATTGACAACACAACAAGGGCAGTGGGTTGGGGAGGTACAGTACAACTAGGCGTAACACCCCACACCACGGGCTCATAGAGGCAAGTTTATTCCGCAGGCCTCACACTGACTCACAGGGGCCACTATATTACACTGGCTTGGATATCTGCGAACTACTAGTAACCATGCCCCGGGCTAAACATTATTTTGGCGAACCGTGTCCGTGTTCAAGTGGTTAGCAAACTCAACTCGAAGACAAATGGTCCTGGGTTCGATCTTAATGGGGTGAATCAGTTTTACGCCAATTGTCTCTGTATCCAGCAGTAGTTTGAGATCAGGATGTTAAACAACTGATGGGTCGTTTTCAACACTAATGACGAGCCAGTGCAGTTGGAGAGGGGTTCAGTTTTCCCGGGCTACCTCTTCACTATCAAAACCGGGTCATACACTACACATAGCCCAGGTCTGGTTGTTGTGATGACGGCAGCTGAAATGCATAAACAGATTCACTCTTTGAAAGCCTTATGGCAGGTCATCGTCGAGAGATCACCCGAAGATTAGACAACCCCTAACCTAACCCATTTGTTAACGATAGGGTGGCTAATCTTTAGGTGAAATACGCTGGGGTGTGTAACCTTTATATGATCCATCATCAATATTAGATGGCAGTACGGTAATACATATTTACCAGATGCCACTGTTAATGTGCGCGCGTGTGGGTGTGTATATACTGTACAGTATGTCTGTCTCTCCACGTGTGTGTGTACGTATACTGTGTGTCAACATACAACTACGGCACCGCCGGCCACTAGCATGACATCATGCTCCAGAATATACACCCACACTAGCTCTCTCCACTGAATTTCATCATCACAAATTCGACATTAATCATCACCACATCTTTATACAACCATCACATACTACAGCTGTATCATCTAAACCTCCGCTACAACACTACGTTATACATCACATTACAGAAAATGAACCCATACAACGAGTAATACAAACCATGTATTCGTGACACACATACATACACGCCACCTGGTCTTACTATCCACCCCCTTCCCTAGCAGCAGCTTGTTAACTTGAGCCTGAGGGCGGCCATACATACCTCCGGGTTACGTGTCAGGCATTGGAGGGTTGTGAAGTCCCTCTGGCGGGTGTTACGATTCAGTTTCGTTTTAATGTTTGATTGGATAGAATTTTGTGTTTGGATAGTAATTTTTGGGTTGATTATATTTACGTGTTGAAGATTTCCATTTTCGTGATTTGGTTATTAAAATACATCGTTCAGTTACAGAATCTATGGGGAAAAATCACAGAAAAAGTCGCCTAACCTAAACAAAATCGTGACTTTTTGTGACTTATTTTCCCTGTTTCTTTCTGTGACTTTTTTCTGGCTTCGTTTTTCTGGTCGCCTATTTATACATGTTGCTGACCATTTACGTAGGTTTCTTGCTATGATCATCATTCAGTTGCTTTAATCATGTGGTGAAAAAGTTTGCCTAATGGTTATTGATATTCCTACTATCCAAGTAATGGCAGCATCCATCACCAAGCCTGTGCCGACAACCTGGTACAATACAATCATTACCTAATATACGGTACATACATACTGCCAACATCTTTCATGACAGTAGTAGCCTTGTGCTGACATTAACATATTCATCAAGTACGGTGTGTCAATAAATCCTCTACCATTACTGTTACCGCCCGCACTGTGCAAGCGGTAATGGTGGAGTTTAGGATAACATATGTGGGTGTTATGATTACGGTAATGCGGAAAAAGAGTTAATAAGAACACAGAGTTAACGAGTAAGTTGACGTAGCAGATCTGCTGAAACTGCACGATGACGCTTTTCATCTGTCCTGGGTGGAGCGGTTGAGGACAGTGCCGAGTTGTGAGCATTACGGTTATTAATTACAGGCAGCAAGCAAAGGCGACACGTATGGTAATGATTTCTGAACGTTCGCTGGTGTTGGTGACACTGCTTCCTTCTTGTTTGTAATTATTTTTTTTTCTTTTGGGGTATGTTAATTGTTGATGTTGTTTTTCTGTTCTTGTGGGGTCAATATGTGATGAGATCAATATATGATGGATGAACATGGTGGGTCAAAATATGCCCGGTGTTGTCGATTCAGTTATTTTACAAGTAACTGATCTGTGTGTAGATCTGATTCTTTTTTCTCTCGTTAATGTCTCATCTGTGGTACTCGAGCTATAAGGTATGTAGATAAAGATAGATGTTCAGTAGAATTGTCATACAAGTTTACAATTGGTTCAGCATGTATATAGACAACACAGGTATACAGTTCAGCATATATATAAACACAGGTATACAATTCAGTATGTATATAAACAGGTATATAGACAATGCGGGTATATAGTTGAGCAAGTATATATAGACAATACAGGTATACAGCCAATAACTTTTATTAAACCTCTCACCCCTACCACCTTACAATCACCACAGAGGGTGCGTACCGCGCTCGACCTTGAGCAACTCCAACCCTCCTCCTCCTCCTCCTGCTGCTGCTCCGTTAAACCATGGAGATAACCAGAGAACATGGGGCGCCGGTGCCAAACTACCCTACCCCGCACACGACGGCACCACCGCACTCACTACGCACATATCCTATTTCATTAACGTAAGCAGATACTCCAATACAATCCTTATATTATCACACGATAAATTTAAAACGCATACCAAGAAATATATTAATTACAACTGGCACGTTAATAATAATGCTTATAATTAACGATATATCGCCTGTTTGAAAAAAGAAAAGGTGATTATGCCATTGTTAAACCAGTGTGATTTGTTTAGCGAGGTTAGTACAATTTCAAGAACAAAATACACGCGTATCCTGTAGACATTTGCACTTCGCATAGACACAAACAAGTAAACATCACCAACACTGATGATGACGCAATGATAAAGTATACAATGCCGAGACGATTCTAGGACTAGGCTACGTCAGTAACTAACCTTTAAAATTAGGAGAAAATTAGGGACCTAATTATAAGACCTAAACTTAGACATTTCACAAATTTAAAACTAGGAGAATAGTGATGATATCATTGTAGAGTTTAGCTTAGATGATTCATCGGGCCTTGGAATATTTGTGCTGCAGTTCCCGCCATATAACGGATCTGCTGAACTCATCAATGCCAGCAAAGATTATACAATACACAAAACGAGTAACAAGTAAATAAGAGCTAGGATCACTTAAAGATTAACCACCCCAGCTTATTTCATCTGGTAATTATTAAACAACCCTAACTTCTATCTGGGGGAAGCTGGATTTGGTTGGGTTAGCTGTACAAGTAGGTTACGTTAAGTTAGGTCAGCGTTAAGGAGATTAATCTTGAAATGAAACAAGCAGCGGGCTAATCTTCAGGTAATTTATAAGGTATACTGATACTGTACAATTATAAAACCATTAAACCTGTTTATTAAGCAACTATGAGACCGCGAAACTCATAGTATGAATTAATTAGAGGCTTAAAAAAGTCAGTGCATTTATGGCAAATTACATTGCCATGAAGCCTAATGCTAAACCACAAGAACATGACACATAATAAACGGATTAACCCCAAGCCTGGAGCTGGCCGACGCTCCCCTAACAAGGAGTCACATCTCCTGATTTATGTACTATATGTACTGTACAGACCTGTAAATGTACTGAATGAATATTATGTCTATATCACATGTAAGTTTATTTATTTTCAGCCACCGGCTGCAACTCTATTAAACCGTTTATTATTATTATTATTATTATTATTATTATTATTATTATTAAGAAGCTATAGGTCCAGGAAACTGTGAGGGCAGACTTTTTCGGAGTGAGAGTTGTGAACTCTTGAAACAACCTGCCAGAGAGTGGTGTGACGGCACCGAGTGTGAGCTCTTTCAAGACCAGAATTGATCAACACGAGCAACTTCAGATATATTCATGAGCCGGTGCATGCCCAGTACTTGCCAACAGTGCATAACAGACACGTGACCGACCGACCAAGCGGCTAACGAGCCAATCAGTGACGAAGAGGATAAAAGTAAAAGACCATTAAGCAATAAACTAACCATCAACGGAAAAATAATGTCATATTTCCCCACCAAAAGAAAGTTTGTTTCACTCTAGTTTACCTCTAAGCTATAATACGCAGATGGTCCACACCTTGTAGTAAGTATACAGGTGATTTATGGTAGTTAAGCAGATGGTACTTGCCGTGCAGTAGGTACAGACATTATTTGTGGGAGTTGCCTACTGCCTAAAACCCAACTGCTTTTTTTTTTTACTAAAACCCATTTGCACCAAATATTTACCAAATGCGCTCCAGCTGCAAATGGTATAAAGAATAAAGATTTTTTTTTATTTTTGCGCAATAAATACATACTGTACAGTAGATGATGCATGTGGGAGGTCGTACAGTTGTTATGTCTTCACTGCGCTTCAACTACCGAGCGCGTAGCAAGGTAAGTAATTTCATTCTAACAACCTTTCTCACAGTTGTCTGTAAAATATTTTTTTCGTTATGAGATAATTGTAGTTTTACATTACTGGCTCATGAATATTGTGTAGCCTATGTTTATTATGAAGGAAAAGATGACAAGCTACCACCACCACCACCACAAACTCAAATGTCCCTCTTTGCAATCCAAGATGGCACTTTTTGCCAAGGCCTTTTCAGTCGTAATCACTCTTGCACCAATTCCTATTTCCTTCTTTCAATTTACGTCCATTAATTGTTTGTCCTTA